CTGTCTAATCACCCAGGAGCAGCCTGCTGCTCTCAGCTGCTTATGCTCAACCAGTTCTTTAGCTCCCCCCTGCTTCCTAATATTTTCAGCACTTGCAGCTGTACCCTTCGTGTTTCCAAACTCGCAGCACTTGTCCCCATGAAGACATTTTAAAATGGTGAGTGTCCAGATCCCTGCCACAAAGACAGCTGGAGCACATCTCTCCTCCTCTGCTATCAGTTACGGGAGTCAATACAGTCATCTGTTTGCAGAGCTAATTTTTGAAGTAGTTAGTAAGATTGTAATTGGTGCTGATTACTCCAAATAGCGTCTCCAAATTACAGCTGTCAGGGCTTGTTTAATTTTGAACAAAGACTACAAATGGTATTTATTGTTAGAGCTGCTGATTTGCTCAGAGGGACCTCTGGCCAGAGTCTGATTGAGAAGCATTTTTCTGTCTGATAGAGAATCAGGAGCTCGCCTGATGCTTATAGATCACCTGGCTGATGTGCAAAGCATGAGGAAGGAGAGGACCTCATGGGTAATGTTTGGCCATCCGTAAAATCAGTGCAGGTCAAGAATAACTCCAGTAAAGTCAGTGGAGACTTCTTCCAGGGCTGTGCCCTGTCAAGAGAGGGAAGTACTGCTGCCTGAGGATGACCTCCACAGCGACCCGCTGTGCCTGCAGTGCCGGTGGTGGCTGGCCCTGGTCCAGCTTGGGTTGAACCAAAGTGGCTGAGGAGCTTTAGCACCTGCACCCTGCGAAACTGGACCAGTCGGATCCCGTGCAAATGCTCTGGGAGAGGCGTGAGCCGTGTCAGATGAAGTCTGAGGGGCCTCAGACCCTCCTCTGGCTCTTCTCGTTGAAAATGCTGGGATGGCTGAAGTCAGTGGGCTTCAGCAGGAGCTGAGGACTCTCGGTGCACCTGAAACCCAAACCTTGTGACTCCTGCTCAGACGTACTGGAGAGCTTTGGTTGCTGCTCCAGGAACATGAGATACTTCACTTCTGTTCAGTAGTAACATCCCTGCATCCATTCCTACACAATTTCTACTTTCAAGCAAGAAATCAAAATTCTCCCTCATCTCTCAAAACCGACATTTTTTGGACTCGGATAAATTAAGTGGCTGTTTAAACTGCATATTAACTTCAAGTTAATTAATACTTGGTCACAGTGGGCCATGCCCAGGGCCGCTTGCTGCATTCAGATGAACACCAAATCCAGCTTAATCATTTCCAGCGTGTGCAAGACGGGAGGAGTTGGAAGCGTTGGATCTCACCGCAGCAGTGTTGCTTCTCTGTCTCTGCACTGCCTGGTCTGAATTTCAATGGGTGGTTCAGGAAATACACAAGCCTTAGCTCAGCAAGGGAATTTATCCCAGCAAAAAAATAAACTTCGGGGCCATTTGGACAAAATGCAGTTTAATGGTCACTACTGATGAGAGCAAACCCTCGCCACCGCCTTCCTCAGCTGCTGGCTGAGGTGGCCCAGCTCAAACCCAGTGTTCCCACACAATGCACTGGGAAGGCTTGTGGTATAGTGTTGCATTTTCAGCTGCAGCCAGCCTTGTGCTGTCAGTAGCTTGCTCCAAAGTGCCTTTTTCATATGCATCTGATGGCCCGAAGGAGGAATGAGGGTGCAGTGTAGGGACCTGTAGCCTGTTCAGATGCCTCATGGGCAGGTGGTCTCTGGGGCTTTTGCCTGTGGTGACCTGGAAGGAGCTTGTGCTTTGTTGGGAGGCTTGTTTTAACCCAGTGCCATGGCTGTGCCTAACGGGGTCACCAGAGGGTGGTCCCTGGGGGCCTGGACAAGGATGCTCCGCGCATGAGTGCCATGCACGAGGGAAGCGGTCTCAGCACTGCTAAAGCTCTTGCATTTAATGCAAAGGGGTGGTGGCTTCTGCCACGTGTCCCTGGTGCTGGCAGGGGCTGCGGGGAGCTGGGGCACTCCCGTCGCAGCGCTGCAGGTTTCTGGGGATGGGTCTCCTGTTGCGGGCTCTCGCACAGCCTCAGCCGGCCGGGTCACGTCATCCCGTGTTAATCTTCAAAGGCAGTTTGCAGAAGCAGTGTGATTTCTAGCTCCTCTATTTTGGGAGGTGGGTGTGGGAAGCTGTGTGAAGCTGTGTCCCTGGCAGGCTCAGAAACCAGGAGACAGGCTGAGATATTTTCTCCTAACGTCTCAGGTTGGGGACGGTGGGTGACACAAGGTTGTCCTGGCCTTAGCAGAAAGGAATTCTTCCTCCCTGGTGTCGATCTGGCCACGCTCCCATGAAATCCCCACTGTTAATTCCTGGATGCATTTTGTCCCATCTGAGGTGGACCCAGAGGGATTACCACCTTGCTTTCAGCCCCTCCAGCTCCAGGCTGATCTGCTTCTCCCAGGAGGTCCCTTGTCTCAGTTCCACGGTGCTGGTGGAGGCCCCTTCACAGCCTTTTGGCCCCTCTGGTTTGGGATGGGTCCTTTCTGCAGGTGGAGGAGCTGCTCTCTGCTCCTCACCTTCCTCCCTGCATTCACAACCTTGGCCAGAAGGTGCTGGAGGGGAAGAGCTGCCTAAAGCTTAGGCTGATTCTGAGCATCTTGTTATCTTCCCCTTCCTTCTCTTTTCAAAGACAACCCCCTTTCCTTCAGTGCCAGGAAGATTTCTTGTCCCAGGGGCCAGCTTTCTATGGACACCTTGGGTTCCTTGCTCCCTTTCTTTTCATGTTACACTTCTTGTTATTCATTTTGACTTTCGCCCACTGGAAAAAGTCCCTCGCTGTGCTTTGTGCTTCTCCACAGCAGGACTCACTAATCACATCATCTCCCAGCACCAGGCCCCAGAGGGCTTCTACTTTAGAGTGAAAAATAGTGTTGTCTAGGCACCACGATCCCATGAAGTTGCCTCAAACAGTTCTATAAGACTAAAGGTAATTTAATAAATGGTTATGGATTTTCCATCTCAGGGGTTTACCTCTCCTCAGGAGCTGTTCTTAACCTGCAGTATTTATCACAAGCAGCTCCAAGATCTGTGCTTTCCTTTCCTCGCTAGGACGGATCACGGCCAGCAGTTTTGGGTCCGTCACCACGATGATGGCCAGACCCATGTGCTGAACTGGTGCACGGACTGGTGTGTAGCTGGAGGGCTTTGAGGTGCTCCTGGCCCGGGATGGCTCCAGCCCTGCGCTGCAGGGACAGGTAGCATTCAGCTGCAGGCTGCCCAAAGGCACCGTTGGTGCAGATGAGCTGAATTTATTCCATCCTTACGCAGGTGCCTGAGTTAGTGGCTCCTGGAGGTGTTGAGCAGTTGGGTCACCCATTGAGGCACCCCAATATATATTAAGGCGTCTCGGCTGAGAGGAGCAAAGCTTGCAGAGATGGGACTGGAGATGGGTGATGCTCTGCAGGACCAAGCGAATGCCTTCATCCCCTCCAGTCCTGCTTTGCTCTTCCACATGCACAGTGCTGGGGTCATCTTTGGGGTCCCTCGCGAGGTGCCAGCAGCAGGCAGAGGCAGGGCTGGGCAGGTGTGACAGCACTGCTGCTCATCAGTCCCTGCGTGGGGCAGCTCACCTGGGCAAAGCCCTGTTCTTGCATGTGGCTGCGGGAAGGACAAGTCAGGTGAGACCTCTTGGGGGTTTTGAAGAGCACAGCCTCCAATCCAGAATTGAAAACCAACCGTAAAGAATAAGCTACAAAGCTCAAGACAAATATTCATTTGGGAGCATATGACTGAAATCACTGAATTCCCAGCTGGGAACGAAGCACCCACATTGCTGTGAGAAATCTGCCTCGTTTGCCTGTGGGGAGCACTTGCAAATAGGCATGGTGACAGGCGGGCACGGTGCCGGTGTGTCCCTCCCCGTGCCACCAGATGTACAGACATTGCCCCTGTGAGCACCTGCTGCGATTTAGAACAGGGAACGCAATCTGAGTCCCCGGGGAACGTTTGCAAACGTTCAACCAGATCCTTTTTCCTGATGGCTGTCGCTCGACCTATCACCGCAGCTCCGTCGGTAAAACGAGCCGTCGAACCGTTTTGCCAAACCGGTCCCCCGACGGTTTGCGGTGGGAAGCTGCCGGGGAGGTAATCACGCCGTCGCTAAGCGCCGCGCTGGGCATCGCCCCGTTTCAGCAGAGCCTCTGCCCTTCCAGCACGAGGTGCAGTTGGAGCCGTTATTTTGCAGCCGGGGCGCACTTGCGGCGCGGCAGGGAGCTGGACCTTGTCGCCGACATTTGCGGCGCGGTGATTAAAAATGACCGAAGCTTCCTTCCCCGAAATACTAACCGCTGCTGCTCGGGCACTCCTCAGGCATCTTGTGGGCTGTTTAACTGTGATTCCCTGCCCGCAGTTGCTCGACGTGTCTTTCCGTGTTGCCTAGCGTGCTGGGGGGGGGTGTCCCCGCCTGATGCTGGGCTCTGTCAGAATTAGGGCACAGCAGGCTGCGGGCTCTGTCCCTGCTCCTGCCTGATGGACTGACCTGCGGCTGCGGGAGGTTGTCAGGGGAAATATTCAGGGTAAATACATAGTAGAGCTACAGAATTTCTCGCTTTGGCCCAGCTCAAACCCAGTGTTCCCACACAATGCACTGGGAAGGCTTGTGGTTTGCACCTATATTATATTATTTCATTTTCAGCTGCAGCCAGCCTTGAGCTGTCAGTAGCTTGCTCCAAAGTGCCTTTTTAATATGCATCTGATGGCCCGAAGGAGAAATGAAGGTGCAATGTGGGGGCCTGTAGCCTGTTGAGATGCCTCATGGGCAGGTGCTCTCTGGGGCTTTTGCCCGTGGTGACCTGGAAAGATCTCATGCTCTTTCTCCTTGCCACCAGTTGCCAGCTGCCTGTGCTGCCGTTGTACCAGCCTCGTCCCTGGGCAGCCCCAAGTGTTGACCTGCTCCATCCTGGTTTCGGAGGTGCTGGCTCAGACCCGTTACTGAATTCACACCAGTGCCCACCCGGGGGCCACATCCTCCCCAGGAGCTGCTCGTGCAGGCTTCCCTCCCTCCCACTGCAGGTCTGTGATCAAAGTTATGTTATTTTCCAGGTTCAGCCCTCCAACACCGAAATTTTTCATCCATCGCCAACCACCAAAGGAGGAGGGAGCCTGTTTGGAGCGCTCGGCGTCTGCAGAGAGCAGCGCCGGGGAAGGAGGTGTGGAGGAGCCACCCGAAGCCCTGGGAGCCAACAGGGGATCCTGCCCGAGAGCCACCAGATGCAGATGTCACCCTGGAAGCTAAGGTTGGTTTTCTTGTACACCTACCACGCGCGTTGCTTCCCCTAGCTTGCCACCAAGAAGCCATGCTGGTGCCAGGCTCCCTTTTTGCTGCCCTGAAAGGGCCAGCAGCTGGACCCGGGGCTTCTGGGGAGGCAGAAATAGGATAGTTTTGCTTGGAGAAGCCCACTCAGATCCTACAGAGCTATGCTGAGTTTGGGATTTTTTTGGCTTGCTTTTTTTTACAATATAAAACAAGGCTTTTATCTGCATTACAATGAGAAGGCTTCCAGTTTCCTTCCTGCATCAAGCCATGCCAAGGACTGATCTCCACGTACTACTTTCTCAACCCCAGCTAGAGCCACCCATTTTCATGTCTCTACCTTCACCCAAGACCTGGTATTGCAGTGACGGCCGCAGAACTGTCTTCTATAAAATGAGACTTTGCAAAGTTGCTCTTTTTTCCTCCTAGCATGGAAAATGGCCTTTGGTCTGCTGACCTTCCTGGTGAACCTCGGTGCTTTGGAGCTTGACCTTGGTGCTAGTGGGAACTGGCACCTTGTTCTGCATCATGCAGGGCAGAGGCTGCTCCTGGGGCAATAAAAAAGGATGTAAGAAAGCACGGGATGTTCTGAAAGCACCGGCGTTGGCATTAAGTTCAAGGACGGGGGTTGCACCTGCTCACATCCAAATATCAGTCATTTTAACATAACTCTGCACAGTTTTTCTGAATCAGGTGAAGTGATACCCTGTAGACGTAAAGAATAGTGTGGTTGAATGTTTTCAGATAGAAGCACGAAATCATCTTTATTTCCTGCTTTGTTGACATGTATGCACAAATAAACTAGTGAAATTCGAGTGGATGTGGCTAAGTGGGATCCTAAAGTGCTTCAAAGGATACGTCTGGGTTGCAGCTTCACCTTCTGCTTGTGTCACTGTACCAAGGCAATATCCATATAACCTTCCTGGGGAGGGGCGAGACCATAGGCCTAGGAAAGATGTGAGTTCTCATCTTTGGAGTTACACTCATGACAAAGCTTTGCCAGGTTTGAAAATGTGGAGATGACAGGAAGAGCAAGAAACATGAGAAGACTTGGCCCTCCCCAGTGCTTTATCTACTGAATAACCCACATGTAGCTTCTGATTAGGTGTAAAGATGTCCCATAAATATTCTTACAGATTCTGCTGATGTCAAGGCCCCAGCACAAAGCACTTCTTCACATTACTGAAGAAGCAGGTATTCTTACACTTCAAGAGCAATCACAAAGCCCTTGCTTATAAATAGGGGTCAGAAGCCCAGGGATGAGGTTCCTTTTGAAAGATGGCACCTCTGAGGTTAAACACCATCTCTCAGCTGCTGCAGGACAGAAAAACATCTTGGCTGCCTTCTTCAGGAAGGCGACGTTCGAGAAGAATGACCTGGTAGAGATCCTCAGCTCTTCAGCACTGATGGGTGCATGAGATGAAACCTAAGCACTCTCTCAAATGGAGTTGTGCCAAGCACTTTCTAAGTCCTTATTTTCTTGGTTTTGATACTTCTCACTGTCGTGGTTTAGGCCTGGTTGGCAGCCAACCACAATGCAGCACCTCTCTCTCCCTTCCCCTCCAGCAATGAGAAGGGACAGAGAGCCAGGCTTGGGGTTCGAGATAGGACTGGGATGGGGAAAAATTCCCCTTTATGATCACGAGCAAAAGGCAGACTCGTTAGGGGAAGAAAAAAAGAACATACATTTATTACAGACACTAACAACACATAACAGAGTAAGACAGTGAGAAGCATTGCCACATCTTGAGAACACCTTCCCCCCACCCCTCCCTGCTTCCCGGGCTCAGTTCTGCTCCCGGTATCTCTACCTCCTCCCCCAGGGGCGCAGGGGCAGGGAATGGGGGGTGCAGTCAGTGCTGCCACTTCCTTCATCTTTCGGTGAGGGGAGTGTCCAAAACTTGTTCCCCCCTGCTCCATCGTGGTCCCCCTCTCACAGGAGACAGTCCTCCACAAACTTTCTCCGACTTGAATTCCTCCCACGGGCCGCAGCATTCCCCACACTGCTCCGTCATGGGTCACTAACTTCCTCCGACTGGATTCTCTCCCACGGCTGCAGCCCTTCCCGAGCTGCTCCGGCGTGGGACTCCCCCGCATGCTGCAATCCTCCCAGCACTGAATTACAGCAGTGGGGCTGCCTTTTCCCATGAGACCCCGGCCTTCTTCGGGCACAGAACCTTGATCATTTGAGCAGGAGCCACAGGCCATAAATCAATGTCTGCTCCACCGTAGATCTCCATGGGTGGCAGGGGGGGGCCGCCCTGCCGTCTCCCCACAGGGTACAGGGGGGTCTCTGCTCCGGCACACCTCCCCCCTCCTTTCTTCCTCCGTTCCTCCACTGACCTTGGTGTTCATGCAGCTGCAGCGACCCCTCCTCACAAGTCCCACTGCCCGTCACCACGTCCCTTCTTAAATACGTTATCGCAGAGGCGCAGCTGATGGGCTCAATTTCCCAAACAGAAGTGGAGCTGATGTGGAGCTGGGGGAGCTTCGAGAAGCTTCTCACAGGGGGCCGCCCCGATAGCCCCCTCCCCTGCCACCAAAAAAACTCCACCACTCACTCAACCCAGGACACTCACTTGCAGCTGTGCTCATGTTTTTGTCACGGAGAGCCTAACTTGTCGAGGTGTGGGGTTCTCAGCATGTTCCTTGGGCAGGAGTGAGCGAAGCTGGGCTGGCACGAGGGTACAAAATGCCCTTGAGGTCTCTGCCAGGCCTGAGTGCTGGGTGCACTCAGCTTCCTCGGGTGAACTTGCATGTAGGAAGTGCAGATGGAGCCCATGTCTCATCTGTGGGTGGGCTTGGACCCACACTCAACTGATGGCATGGACATACCTGCACTCAGTTGGCACCCAGGTCCCATCTCAGCTGCTCCTGGCTTGATGAAGTGATGGAGCCCGCAGCAGAGTGCTGTCACTCAGAGCAGCTGGCTGCCAGCTGCAGCCCACGGTGTTTGTTTTCTAGCTGCTACCATCCACTGCTGCGGAGCTGGAAGGTGCTGTGGAAACTCAGAGCCCACTGGGGATCAAGAGGTTGATGCAGTTTGTGGAGACAGAGCCCCTCACCTTGGGAATGGAGGAGGTAAGTGGGAACCTTTCCGGTGCCACGTTTCCATTGTGGTGAGCAGTTCTGTAGTCCCCACTCCCACTGGTGGCCCTCGCTGCTCACGGAGTGGCCTCACGTCCCTCCAAGCACATCACACAGCTCTGCCGAAGCAACCGGTCGCTGGAGAGGCCATGCAGGACGTGCCGTAGGGTTGACCAAGGATGCTACCTGTGCAGCAGCTATGGAGGACGTTATTCATCTTGTTACTAATCAAGTGGTCAGTAGGAAATTTCTGCAGTAGCTTTTGCTGTAGCGTCTTGAGAGAGAGCCGGAGCGAGAGTAAAAAGTCAGATGAGCTGGGCTGGAGTCCTTCCCCCAGCTCTAAGGGCTCTCCCCTCAGAATGTCACGTTTTTCTAACGGCAGTAAAAGGTGCTTTTAAAGGCAAGTTCTGCAGCAGAGAGAATTTCTTGCTGCCAGGAGACATCCTAAATTACTGTAGTGTATTGATCAAAGCATTAATGAGCGAGTATGGGAGCAGATTTTTCCCGCGGTCCCTCCACTGGTAAGTGGAATGGCTACAGGATGAGACTGGGATGTTTTTGCCCATGTTGGAGGAAGATGCCCCTCCAACCATGTCTGTACTTTGCTCCAAGTCGCGGCTGCTCTTCTGCGTCGATTTCTGTGCTTGACACCTTGGTCTCTCCCCGCCTCCCTCCAGGTTTTCGATGTCCTGCCGCTGTACGGTGTGCTGCAGCCGGGCGAGAGCCAGCAGGTCATGTTCACCTTCTTTGGCCACACCAATATCGTCGCCCACGTCATGGCGCTGTGCAGGGTGGAGGGAGGCCCAACCTACGAGATCATGCTGAGGGGGGAGGCCTCGCTCATCAACTACATCATAGACATCACGGAGATCGACTGCGGGCTGCAGGTACCGCACGCTTCTCTTGGCAGAGCTCCTTGCCTTGAAACCATCGCTGGCGGGTTGCTGCTCACCTAGCTCTAGGGATCTTTCCATCTACTTTGTTGGCTCTACGGCTTGGAAGTAAACCTCGGAGTGATATGTCCTGCACCCAAGCTGGTTTTTAATGGCCGTCTCCAGCTGGGAGGGAATTCCTCCTCTTCAATGGAACTAATGCTGCCTCCTGGGGCAGGCAGGATCCCTGTGGTGATCTCCAGAGGGACCTGTCCCAAGACATCCAGCCACTGATCTGCTCTTAAAGCCTGAAGTCCAAGCAGATGCTCTCTTTTAATGTGCTTGATTACTCCAAAAAAATAAACCAAGGAGGAGGTTAACTTGGACTTCCCGGTCACTGTAGCTGGAGAGGATGTCCCAGAATAATCCCCACTTTACTAGATATTTCCAGCTGTTGGCCCTGCACACATTGCGCTCCCCTTTTGCTGTCACTGCAAGCTCTGCAAATACTTGTATGCGGGTGCCCTTTCTCCTGCAATGTCTTGATGCCACCTCCTTCATTTCAGCTGGGTGTGAGATGACACCACAAAGCGCAGAGAACTTGTGCCCTCTTTGGTTTCTTTATTACTGATCTCTGTGGCTGGCATTGCCCCTGTGCACGCTGCCATCGATAGCTGTTCATGTGTAGGGCTAAGAGGGACCATGTGGCTGCGGGTTCCCTGGCTTAACCTGGGAGAGTTGAGTGCCCACATCCCCCCCTGCCTCTCTGCTTCTCCCCTGTGTTGTGTCCATTTGCTCTCACCCCAAAGAAAGGAGGAGATTCCCAGTACCAGGCCTGTGTCTTCAGCCTCCCACTCCTCTGTCCTCCCTGCAGCTGTTTAACAAAGTCACCGAAGCAGAGGTCACCCTGCAGAACAGCGGGAAGGTGGGGTTCACCTACGTGGTGCTAATCCCCAGCGCGGCAGACAGCCTTCTGCCCGGCGTGCCCCTGGTCCTGCCCAGCACGGTGAGTACAGAGGTGGCACGAGTGATTCACCCTGGCTCTGTGTCAGGCTGCCCAGGAGCGGGTTATAGGGGAGAAAACAAAAGAAAAAAAAAAAAAAAAAAAACAAAACACAAAAGCAGAGAGGAGAGACAGGGCCGTAAGCAGTTGCTGCTGGCGGGCAGGGAAGGTCAAGCAAGCGTGGTCCTAAATCGCCTCCCTCGATGGCCTTTGCTTCTGGGGGACCCTGCTGTCACGCCACCGGCCAGGGGCACGAGTGCTTGGGCAGCTCTCTGGACCCCAGCTGCTGAGCTCTCTGGCTGTGCGGACACTGGAGGGTCCTGGAGGGTCTCCTGAGGGTCATCTTACCCAGTTTGGGTGATCAGACAGGACTCAGTCCTTGTCCCTGCCTGTAAAACACCCGGCCAGCCCCAAGCAGGACTTAAATCCTCTCTCACTTGAGCATGAAGCTTCTTTGCCAGAAATTGTAACAGCCCTTGTACCGGTCCCTCACTCCCCCCAACTTTGCTGCTCTGCAGCAGCCCTGTGGGGCAGAGAGGGGCCCAGGGAGGAGCAGGGCTGGAAGGGTGAGGAGTTTGCAGCATCCCACCATCGCGGCTTCTCAGTCCTGCGTGGCTGTCTTTGCGCTGGAGCAGCATTCCTATCTCTGTCCCCTTTTGCCACGGGAAGAGGAAGCCAAATGGCTTTCACGGTTCCTCGGGCCCTCTCCTAGGAAGGATGACACGTTGATGCCCTCTTCCTGCGAGCTTCCGCAGACACAGCTCTGCTGGGACCTGCGTGGTCAGTCGCTGTAAGAGCACCGTGGGGTGCTGGCAGCTTGGCAGGGCTCGCTGCCGCTGCGGCTGGTGTTGTGCTCTGGCCTAAGGGCTCAGGGGACCCCTTGGCAGGATCTGTCCCACTCAGCAGCCTCTCCCTGCAGCGTGAAGGGGAGCGGGGAGCCGAGGGTCCAGCCCAGCGTGTAGCTGAGGAAAGCTGCGGGCTGTGTCCCCTCGCCCAGAGCCGTGTTGCTGTCTGCTCCTATTTGCTCTTGTCCTGGCTGGCGTGAGCCTAACCCAGGGCTCCAACAGCCCTTCTGGAAGCCCGGAGAGGAGCTGCCCTTCCCGGCAACGCCTCCTTCCCTTCCCTAGATCTCATCCTAGTCTCTGCTCCTGCGTTCCCAGAGATGTAGGTTTGCAGGTCACCGTGAGCCTGGATATGCTCACGCACCCTCAGTGTAACCGCACAGGCAGGAGATATTTGGTGGGGACACTTAATAAGGGGTCAGGCCCTTCAGCACCAGCCTGGGAACCGCTGATGTGCTGCGGCAGGAGCTGCTGGCCGTGCTGAGAGTGCGGGCACCTCGTTTTCCATAGTGGCTGGTAGAAGAGCTTTTATTTATTCAGTCTGGCTCTTGCCAGCAGAGGGTAAACACCGTTGGCAGAAGAGCTGTGCTCGTGCTGAGCAAAGGGCAGCCTGTAGGTCTGTCCTGTGGGAGTGAGTCCCTACAAGCCCTCTGAAGGATTTAGAGCATCCTGACGTAGGAGACTTCAGCTTTTGGATACAAGAAAGCTGGGAGGTGATGTTCTCTGATACTTTCTTCTATATGAGAATCTGCCTTCTCTTCTCAGCCTGCTTATTGTCTGAGCCATCCCTCCACCAAACCCTCTGTGGTGCATTCCCTCCCTCTTCTCCCATACCCTGCAGGGATACATTGGACCTGGCAAGGAGCAAGTGCTGAAAGTTCATTACCTGCCAGGAGTGCCTGGAGTCTTCTGCAGGACTTTCCAGATCCAAGTGGGTCACCTGGAACCAGAAGAAATCTCCCTGAAAGGAGAGGGGATCTTTCCCAGGATCTACTTGGACCTGCCCAGGAACATCAAAGGTGAGCACTGCCTATCTGCTCCCCAGGAAGGTCCTCTGCTTTTTTTCCCCCCTTTCATATGCCCCTAGGGCAGCTCACACCCACCTCCACCAAGCCTGGAGGTTTCAGGGCTATCAGGCCAATGCTCAAGCCTCTGGTTGCTTCCTGAGGCTCTGGCGGACAAGCCCATGTGGGCTTTGCCCCAGAACCATCCTGCAGAGCTTGCCAGCATATCTGTCGGAGTCCTGGAAAGATGATGGCTAGACAGAAATGCTTGGGAAAGCTAAATACAGGCTGGCAGGGATTTTGGCAGGGTTGGATTTGCATCACACTGCAGGGGAGGAGGTGCTCCTGTGTGGGGAGGAAGATGAGTGGGAACGAACATCAGGATTCATAGAGGAAAAGCAGCATCTACTCTCCATACGTTGCTTGAGGAGGGTGTTTCTGGGAGAGGCCAGCGTCAGGGGAGTGGGGCTGCCCAGCGTAAATGGGACTGGTGCTGTGCCCACGCTTCTATTTGTGGATATTTTCTTCCTTCAGGAAATGAAAAATATGAGAAGGTCCTCAAGGAGGTGAAAGAAAAAATGGAAAAAGAGAGCCAGAGAGAGGAAGCAGTTGATCTGGAGGATGGTGCAGCCGCAGAGCCACCCACGGATGACTCAGGCACCGCGGTGAGAATGGTTACTGTCCCGTTTGGCACGTGCCACCTTCCCCTGGTGTCCTCTGGTCCCCTTGCACCCCACAGCAGGCTTCCCAGTGTCCTGCTGGCGCTTGAGACCTCCCTGCTCACAGCTGGCCATGATCCTGCATCAGCTCAGCATTGCCCCAGGGGCTGCCCACTCCTGGGATTTGTCCCTCCCGTAGATGCACGAGCTTCCTGGCTACCCCAGGGAGAGAGCCCGAAGATTGTGCTCAAGTGGTTGAATTTATGGTAGTTTGTGATGGAGATGTAGGTCATCGCTGGAGTATTTGTTGCTTGCAACCCAAGCCCTGCCAGGTTTACAGAGCTTAATAGCAGCAGCCTGACACTGTGCCCTGGAGCTGTGCTGCCAGTGTTCCTCTCCAAGAGACACCAGCTTCATCGTGGTTCCCTTTTCAGGAGAGCTTTTGTCCAAGCTGCTTTGGCACTGGCTGGGGGCAGGCAAATACTTGGAGCTTTGGAAGGTTCCTGGCTTGTCTGTCTGCTTGTCTGGCCAGATCAGCTTTTATAACAGTGGCTGGGCAGCTGAAGATGCTGGAGTTCACTTCCCTCAAGAAAAGGTCTCGACTAAGAGAGCAGGAGGTGTCACAGACACTGGGCTGCGAGACAGGAGGACCCCATCAGCCCTCTCAACAAAAGCAGGGTGGGATCCTCTTTGAGAGACAAGCCTGTGCCTTGGGAAGGATCTTTGCTAACCAGCCACTGTCTTTCCTTTCCTCAGTTGGACCCTCGGCTGCAGATGCAGATGGAACAGATGCTGATAGAGGAACATGCCCTGGAGCAGCAGAAAGCTCTCGCCTCTGGTCCCCCAGAGGCCACTGCCTTTGATGAGTGTGCTTGTCGGAGGCTTCTCAAGTTAGTAGGGCCTCCCATACCCTCTCTCCAGGTGCCCCGAGGGTAACACCCAGCAGTACACCCCTGCTCCTAAGAGCACCTTGTGTCTGCAGAGCTGGGAATAGCTGGGAACTTCAGAAAGGGTCTGATCCTGACAGCTTTGCCATGCTCCCCACGAGCAGCTGAGTGTCCTCACTTCCACAGTGCCACCCTGAGCTTTGGAGGTGCTCAACTCCCCACAGGTGCCGGATTCTGCTCTTAGGGTTGAGGGGGTCCAGTAGAGACCATCAAGCCCTTCCAGACAGCATCGACACCATCCCGGCTGACCAGCTCTGTAAGAGGCAACTCAAGGCTGGTGTCTTTGTTCCGGCTAACAGACCGCACTAAGCAAAAAGATTAGGGAATCACACAGGTTGACAAACCCTTGAGAAGCCTGAAATCATGTGGCTTGGGTGCTGGTGGGACTGGAGGGCTTACCTAGGTAACTCGATCTTTCCCTTTGCTCCCTCATGATGAGGCATGGGCACGGTAGGCTCCAGTTCAGGAAGAAGATGCTCTGCAAAACAGATCATGTTTGTGCTTTCCTGAGTGCAATTGCTCTGGAAAAGGACCTTCCTGTGACTCTTGTGGGTGTTTACAGCACTGACTGGTGCTGCTTTGGGGACAGATCTGGTTGCAGAGCGTTGAAGATTTCCTGCACAGGCAAATCGTATTACAAGGTCCTGAAGCAATTTCAGGCTTGGGTTGCACACCAGGCTTAGCAGTTTCGTTGAGACCAGTGGGCTTATCCACAATGGCTTTTCATTGCAGAGGAGCTGTGACCAGTTTCCATTTCAAACTAATTTTTATTCTAAGGTCTCACTGGTAGCTGATAGAAACTAGGACCTACACTCCCTGTGACTTACCAAAGTCTTATTACCAGCTGGGCAGGCCTTGGCTTTCACAGGCTTGAGATGAGTTTTTACATTAGCAAATGGAGAAATATCCACTTTATTTGCATCTTCAGTGCTCTTGGAAATGTAGGCAGGCTGTGGTTTAAGGACTGTCCTTATTCCTCCTTTCAGAGCTGAGCTTCCCGAGTACGTCCTGGACTTTGGCTATGTCATTCTTGGTAACATCCACACGCACATCGTGAAGATCACCAACACCGGGCAGTTCCCCGTGTCCTTCCACGCCGATGGACGGGCCCTGCGTGACACAGGTAACCAGTGCTGGAGAGACTTCACGTGGGCTTGAAGGAGCTGTCTCTGACAGATTAGCTTAAGCCACCAGACACGGGGAGTTTTGGAGTGCTTGTTCATACAACTTTTTCCTCCTTGGGACCTTCTGCCTGGTGCTTTAGAGCCAGAGTTCTCCTGGCCAGTGGTGCTCAGAGACCTGGCCTGCCTGTGCCTGCCCTGACACTTCATTGCAGGGGCTAGATGGGCAGATCACCTTGGTCACCTCTCAGCATCTTCTGCTCTTGGCTCCCGTGAGCATCATCTGAGTTTCTTTGGGCACTCTGTGGGCTTGTGTTGCAAATAGATGGACCCTTTGTGGTTCGGAAGCGCTTTGTTTAACATTCATAATGGCAGAGCACTTCTGTTCAGCTTTTATTGAGAAAGCAGCCTGTGAGGTCCTCTGTTGGATCGAAACGGGCTTCTGAACCAGGCCTTGGTGTAAGGCTGCAGCACCATCAAACGGTGACTCTGCTGTGTCTGAAGGGTGGTCAGGTGTCTCCTCTAAGTTGTTTTTCAGGGAGCACCATGGCATGGGGGAATCTTAGTTGGAAATTCTCCTTTGGAGAGGTCTGTACATCCTTCCCTGGCATGCCCGATGAAGGAATTGCTGGAGCTCAATGGTTATATTTCCTTTTTGCCATGTGGGTCTTGGATTCTGACTGTGAAAACCCTTTCTGTCTGTGCTGTGCCAAGGGAGAAAGAATGGCTGGCTTCTCCACAGACGCAAAGGGGTCCTTCACAGAGCTGCCAGCGAGGACACCCATATGGCCTGAATGTGCTCGTGACACGTTCATGTCGATGGTGTATCTCAGCTGCTTTATTTTCATCTGTTCAAGGTTTCAGCATGGAGCTGGACCGTGTGAAGCACCTGCCCTACTGCGAGACCGAGACGTTTGAAGTGCGCTTCGACCCACAAAGTGCCAACCTGCCCCTGGGAGAGGTGGACGTGCTCCTGCCCATCAAGGTACCTACCGCCTGCTTCCTCACCTCCCTGGGCCCGCAGCACCTTTCAGGGCAGGTGGCAGGTCGGGGACAGCAGCAGATGTCACCTGGGTGCTCAGCTGGAGTCTCTGTCCTTCACCAGGTAGCAGGAGGCCCCACGTTTCACGTCCGCCTCCGTGCCAACGTGGCTGTGCCATCCCTCTGCATCTCCAGGGATAGGCTGGAGTTCTCCACTCTCCAGTGCGGGCAGTGCCAGGAAGAAACTGTCCAGCTCCACAATCAGCTCCAGGTCCCCTGTAGTTGGTTCATCACCATGAATGAGCCTGTTAAGAAGGTAAAGCACAAGCATGTAACACGTAACTTCTCAGTGGGGTTTTCTTTGTCTCTCTTGCCTTTCTGCCCCTGTGGCTGCTTGAGCACCTGGGCTACAGCTCGATTGAGGAAGCTTTGGAGGGTAACAGAGCAAGGCTGGTTCACCTGGACCTGTTCATTAGCTGATGCTTCACTTCTCTTCCATCTTCCCCCATTCCTCTCCATCTGCCTGCCCTGCCTACATGTTTTCCCTCCGGTTCTAGGCCAGGGATGGCCACATGTGGGTGTCCTCAGCACTGTGACAGTATCTCAGAGCACTGCAGCAACCTAGGGTCTGTCCTCGGCGACTAAAGACACCTCATGCCATTGTTCTTTGTGCTCAGGTGGACAAACACTGGCCAGCGAGCGTGCGTCGGAAGCTGCCCCAGAAGGCAAAAGCCAAGCCGTGTGTCTTCAAGGCGCTGCCCTTGGCTGGAGCCCTCGCTCCAGGGCAGCGATGCAACGTGAGAATCCGGTTTGCACCCACGGAAGAGGTGAGATGGGCAAGTGTCACCCCCAGGAGATGTGGCAACGAGAGCCCAGCACAGGGAGGAGGAGATGAGGCCTGCTTCTACACAGAGCTTTCTGCAAGCCCCGTACCCACTGTGCCTCAGTTTCCCCTGCAGCACACGCTGCTGAGAGGGGCTTTGAAATCCCCCTGGGGAGCTTGTCAGAGCTCTGTGGTGTGGCTACCTCTCAGCACACAGGGGAAAATCTGCCTGTTTGCCCTCATCTTCCCCCTGGCACGGGCATATTTGCCAGCTGCAACGCGCTGGTGCAGAGCAGCTGGAACCCTCGCGGGGGATGACCCTGGAAGGGCCAATCTAGGCAAGTCCCGCTGCTGGTATGAGCAAGCAAAACAGCCACCAGACGCCTTTCTGGGCACAGCAGGACAGCTGCCTGTAGCAGTGTGCTGCCAGCAGCCCCTGTGGCTCTGGGCCAGCCTGCCTGCACGCTTTCAGGCAATTTGGGAGTCAGCTCAAATGATGGAGCGTCCCCAGAGGCAGTTTGCATGTGGCCACCGTGACTTGGAAAGTGGCAGTGTGTGACAGTATGGACACAAGCGCTCCCATGCCTGGGAACAGTCCCAGGGATGTTTTAATTGCTAGTAGAGGTGTAACCATCTTGTGTCTGGCTTTGACCAGAGCCAGACACTGAGCAGAGAAGACGACGTGTATTTCTAGGCAGTGAGAGCTCATCTGCCTCTTTCACAGAGCTGACTTTTGCCTGATGTGTCTGGGCAACATAACCCTGAGGACCTTTCTCATTGAGCATTGCCCTTCCTCGTGTCTAGGTGAAGACACCTGATAGTCCATTTTAGAGTCATCTGATTCCCAAATACCCAGTTACACTTCACACTGGGATTCATCCCAGTTACTCAGAGCCAGCATGCAGATGCTGTAGCCCCTGCTATAAGGAAATATCTGTTTTCCATTCAGCCTAGAGGTACTGGTGACACCCCTGCCCTCAGGGCAAGGGTTGCATTTGAGGCCCTGTCACCTGGGACTTCACCGAGAAGCTTTCTGTGCTTCTCTCTTTTCAGAAGTCCTACCGAAGCGAGATGAAGATTAACATTTGCCAGAGCAGCCAGCACCTCCAGCTACAGGTCTCGGGGCATGGGCTAGAGCCACAGCTGGAGTTCAACCCCCCAGTGCTCGAGCTGGGACCGTTGCTGCCGTACAGCCAGGGGGTGGAGGGCACAGTGGTGGTGAAGAATCCATGCGAGTTCCCCGTCGAGTTTTACTCGCTGGAGTTTGACCAGCAGTACCTTGCTGAGGAGCAGGTGAGAGGGAAGGTCTGGTCCCCCGTGTGCGTGGCTTCACGGCGCTCCGGCTCTTCCCAGGCTCGTGCCAGGGAGATGGAGGCAGTCCCCGGGGCAAAGCCTGGTGGCATTTCAGGGCTTGCCAGCTCGGCTGGCAGGCTGTGGAGGGGCTTGGATAGTCCGTGTTGTTGGAAGGCAGGCGTGAGGGAGAAGATCGGGTGGTTGGGAAGTCTGTTTGCGTGGTGGAGGTCGAGAAACACGTCCAGGCTTCTCTTCCCTGTGTGCACAGATCCTGCGGATGCTGAAAGACTACGATTGCCACAACACCTTACTGCTGCCTCCACGTGCACCGGGTGAGAAGCTGCCTCCAGAGGTGCTGGAGTACTATCAGCACCAGAAGAAGCTGCAGGATGAGCAGGCAAAGCCCACAACTGGGGAATCAGCAGGCCAGGACAACGGTGAGGGTTTGGCACTGGCTGTCCTGAGTGTGGACACAGCAGGGAGTCCAGCCCACATACCCTGACCTCTCCATGAGCTCATTCTACATGGAAAGCCCGTGCTTTTAGCAGCCACGCAGTCCCCAGCTTGGTGGAGGAATTCCAGCATGAAAGTCTGTGGCTTGTAACATGCATCCTCTACCAGCCTTGAGTTCAGCCAGAGCAAGCCCCTATCTGCCTACCACAGACTGGGGAAATAATCAAGATGTTCCCCTGTGTCCCTCAACGACAAAGAGCAGGATTGGATGAGTTCTTCAGCCAGTAGAACCAGGTCTAATATCACCAGCTATCTTATATTTGCTCCTTCCCAGCCACAAAAGCACGAGCTCAAAATCCCCCTGAAGGCGGAGACGACCTGGACAGGCTTCTCCCTGGGAAATTTTCCATCTTTCACACATGGCCATGCGAAGTAGCAAGTAGCAAAGAGCAGATTGCTTGGCCATGTTCATCCTCTTCTTCTCTCCCTGTGTCCTTCCTCCTCAGCAGACTTTGAAGATGTCCAGTCTCTGTCAGATCAAGGAAAAAGGCCCTCTGCTGCAGTCGTTCACACCTCATGCCATAGCTCAGTCGTTCCCTCCTCCATTTTTGATGAAATCCAGTCCAGCAAGCTGGACTTTAAATCTGAATGTGGAGATGAGCAGGAGGACGGTGTTGAGAGAAGACAGGGGACAGGTAATGTTGCGGACAAAACATTTGACGTGGTTATGATTTAGCAGCAATTTAAGATTTATTAATGGTGTGAGGTGGGTCAAAATGTTGAATTTTAGCAGCACTTTTAATGATTGACCGATTTAAAGATTAACAAGCTGATTTGGTAGAATGTTATAATTAAAACAGTGACTTAATTGGAGATTTGAGAATGACAAGAATCACACTAACTTACTACAAGGCACCCTATATCAAGCTATGTATTTACGTATGCATAACCACAAAACATACACACGCACAGACAGAAATATTTGGATCCAGTGAAATATGTAGACACCCACATTCGTGAAAGCTAATGTGTGTATTCAAGCACATAGATAGACTGAGAGGTGGATGGAAGAGGCGAGTCTACAGTCTCTCTTCTCGAGTTTAGAGCAAATACTTAGAATGCATCAACATTCCTCAAGGGGTGATAACTGAGCCTCAAGAAGTCTGGCTTTTCCCTGGCCTTCCACTGACTTTGTGGGCAGATGATCTTTAGACCTCAAGGAGACTGTGCCTGAGAGGTGTCCCAGCTCAGGGGAGATGCTGGTCACAGCCCGCAGCCATCCAGGAGAACTCGAAGGGTCTCGCTTAGGGTCGCTATTTATTGGGTCAGCAATAATTGACTTTTGTCAAGTACTTTTCCATTTCAGCCTTAGTCAGATGATGAAATACTCTGGTACTTTCCACCAGTTGTGTAGGCCCAGAGCTTGCTAGACCTTGGAGTTCTGGTATCACCAGCTTTGGGCTGTGACCCAAGTACGGGTGTACCGGGCTGTTGGGAAGTCACTGATTGCCATTTCCATTCCCAAGTGGGAGGGGAGGCAGGAACCAGGTGTGCTAAGGGAGTGCCTTAACACTCTGGTCCACTGCCTTTCCCAGTTGATCTTGAGTTGGTATGTGGCCCAGGGAGGGGGGAAATTGCACCGAGCAGCCCCACCGAGCAGGGGGAGTTGTACCACCACAGGTAATAACCCTGAGCTCTTCACCTGTCTGATGCCCATTGTGGGAAAAGGACCTCAGTGGAGGACTTCAGTGTCACGTCGATGACTTCACGGCAGCCTGGTGCCATCTTCGCTCCTGTAGGCCCCAAATCCACTCTTGCATATGAAGTCTGTAGGATGCTGAGGAGAGTCTGGGGCAGGAACAAGTGAGAGGCCAGGGATGTTTTCCCCAGTTTTGCCAAATGAGCACCATTGGCCCCAGGAGCTGCTGGGATCAGGGTGATGCTGCTCCCTTTCCTGGGCAGGGCAGCACGCTCTGTCCTACGTGACATTGCAAGCCGAGATGGCTCTTGGTGACCTCCTGAGGGCAAAGGTGGGAGCTCATTGCAAATGCAGTTATGGTGAATTCGGAGCCCAGCCACATCTCCTGGGACAGTACTCCTGAAGCATCCAGCTTTTGGATAATCACTTGATCTGCAAATGGAGCCTCTCCCTTGGGACTATGTAAAATGCCCAGTTCTGCCTGTCACCCCTTACTCAGCAGGACCAGGGACCAAACTCCCATGAGGACCATGTTGACAGCTCATGGGAGAAGAGATTTGGCCCAGTCCTTTTAGGTATTGCCAGATGCTTGTTCTTTTCTTTTTCTGCCACTCTATTTATTATACTCTGAACAGGCAGCTTCACCAGCATCTAGGGCACACCCTGATCTGCCCAAGCCTAAAGGAGGGCCATGGCAAGACCTCGGGCATGATGCTGGTTTCAGTAGTCTCCTCTCCCAGGATTTGAGGGGATGGGGAGGATGATCAGGAGCATAGGTAGGCAGGTGGCTGACTTTTCTACCCGGTTCTGCACAGCGGAGCATCAGCTAAGCACCACCAGCAGCAAGGTGGCCGTGGGAGAACTGGACGACAGCCCTGTCTATCGAGCCATCGCCCGTCACCTTGGCATTGATATCTCTGCAGAAGGGCGTGCAGCCCAAAACCGCAGAGGGATCGTCGTCATCGTCCATGGAGCACCCCTGACAGGTAGGTGAGCCGCAGCCCTTGGCTGCAGAGATGGGGGGAAGCAGGAGAGACATATCCTGGTGGACCGTGGTGCTTGGTTGACCAGTTGAAGCGAAGCGAGGTAATCCTCAGCTCTGCTGGGACGTGAAACGGTCCCAGGCCTTCACAGAGCTGGTGCAAGTGGTGTGGCTCATCTTGTGTCTGTACAGCTTAGGCTGTCATTCCCCCAAACAGGGTGACCATGTCCCCGTTGCTTCGTGGAACCACATTCCCTTGTGTCCATGTTGCTTCATGGGAGCAGTCCCTAGCCCGTCCTGACCCCCAAACCATGCCCAGGTGTTGCCTGAGACGGCACCGACCAGTACAGGCTAGTGAACGGTCTGAGTGGTGGTGGGACAGGGCTCAAAGCCATGTCTTGGCCCAGGGATGAGGTCACCACAAGGGACAAAGTCCTCAGCTGAATAGGAGGTGGAGATGATCCACCTGGCTCTAGATGACAACGCTTCTAACCACGCTCAAGCTGCCTCCCTCATGGTCTCCCCTAAAGGGGCACGTGATTTCCAACTGTCCTTGAAACTTTGAAATCCTGTTCGGGGGCTTTCCAGAGCCTGTCCCCGAAAATGCCTCCCATGCAAGTGTCACCAAACAGTCTTCCTCTCTCTCAAGGGAAGACGGCGGCAGCGGTTGCCCTGTCCAAATATTATGGAGCTGCCTGCTTGTCCATTGACACCGTGGTGACAGAAGCCATCTCAGACAGGAGCACCTCAGCAGGGCTGCGTGCCCGGGAGCTGTGCATCAGGGCTGCTATCGAGCAGAGCTGCAAGGATACAGAGGGTGCTGGTAAGGAGAAATACTGGACCCAGAGCAGAGCCTCAGGAACCCACCATGACCATCCAATGCTTGCTCCAGAGAAGAAGCCCTGACAGCCCTTGGGTCTCATGGGGAGCATGGGTGCAGCATGTAGAAATGCAAAGCCGTTTCATAAAGCATCCCTGGTTATTAAAAAAAATAAATCTCTGTTTTAAGGGCTCAGGCAGGGGCACTTTTACTGCCTCTGGGCTTCTCAGTACACGTTCCTTTTCCTAGGAGTGGTGAAGCACACCTGTGTTTTTCTCAGAGCTTTTTAATATTTCCCCAAAGCTGAATCCAGCTTGCTCCTCATGATCATCAGGCAGAACTGCTGCCCACTTTAACAAGGAAAAAGCCCTCTGAAGTGGCTCATTAAGCACTAGACAACTGACTTTGAGAGTGCCTTCAGAAACATGAGAGGAAGGGAAGAATAACCTCCCGGAGGAGTTTCAGATGAGAGACACACTGCAGATGAGCCCTTTTCTCCAGAGGTTTTCCTACATACGCTATCAGGTCACGCAGCTCGTGCGTGTTGTGCTGTTCTCCACGTGAGACCAGAGACTTTTAGGAAACCTGCTTGGGCGGTTGATGCCCTGAGCTCTGCAGGGTAAGGCCAGACCCTGGTCCTGGTGGGGGGGAAGTTGTGCATTGCTCAGCTTTGAACCTGGTTGAGTTGGGAGCTGGTGGAAGGAGGAAGAGTCTGGGTCCCCTCTGGGGTTATCCCTTGCAGAGGATTTAGCTCCCGTGGAGATGGGTGATGCAGCTAAGGCAGGGCTGCATGTTACCATCTCCACGTGAGGATGCAGGATGGGTGCAAGGCACGGAAACGATGGCCCTGGAGGATGAATCCTTGGCTTGATCCATAGGGGAGGTACTGTGTGCAGCGTCACCTGCTTGCACATTTGTTAAGAGGGACACAGGGCTGTGCATGAAGAACTCTCTGGCTTTAAAATTCAGTATCAGATGGTGTGCTCTATCACGCTACTAAGAGAAGCAGGGAAGGAGCTGCTTCTGGAGAGCAGTGCTGCCAGTGCCCGGCAGGCTGGGGGCGAGTGCTGTGTCCCTGCCAGGGCGCAGGGCTGTGCCCGGCGGGGTGGAAGGTGCCTGCTTGCTCCCCACTGAGGGGCCTGTCCCCGCCGCAGGTCAGAACACCGACGTCTCCCTCAGCCTGCAGTTAGGCACCGAGGCCAAGCACAGCCCAGATGTGAGCCGGTCCAGCTCTGTGGACAAAATCAGCCTGCAGTCCATCAGTTCCCGAGGCCGGGTGAGCACCTCAGCGGGCAAGAAGGCGACGGATGGCCACACATCCCAATCCCAGAAACAGTATCTCATGGAACCGCCGGTCTTCCAGGTGAAGCATGATCTGCACTCATTAATGCCTGGGACCTTTCTGTTGCCTTTGAGAAGTGAAGGGGCTGCTTCCAGCAGAGGCTTTGTGTCACCCAGAGCTTGGTACGGGGGTATATAGTGCAGGGGGCCGGCTGGGCACAGCTCGGGGTAAGAACAAAACCCTGTGCTCTGGCAAAAAAACTCTACTGGGTCTTAACGGTTTGTTGGCAAAGTGCAGTCTTGGCTGACGTGGCTGCAGGCGATGGGCAAAGCTGTGGGATGGTGTGCCAGGGGCTTGCAATCTTGGGTCTCTGCTTGCCAAGGGCTGTGCCCTTCAGGGTGGTCCCCTGGAGCTGCTGGCCTGCAGTTTTGTTCTAACCTCCGGCTGGTGAGAAACCCCAGCTCCAAGCCCAGCAGTTGGAATTGTTTGGGGTTTTTCAAAGTGGCTTATTTTTCTCATGGTGTTCAACGTTGTGGGGTTCATCCAGTTCTCTCTCCCCTTCCCTGCGTTGCTGCGCAGCAATGGCTGAGCATCAGTGGCAGCACAGCAGGAGAGCTGGGTTTCAGGAGCTGCGTGCTGCCTGAGGACTTGCTGGTGGCCATCCTCTCTGAAAGGCTCCAGGTACGTGGCGTGGGAGGCAAATGGTATGTCCTTGCTAGAGTGAGACAGGCAGCGAGGTACAATTCAGAGGGGAGGAGGGCTACAGCTGCTGATACTGGTCCTGGGCTGCGTGCAGGGCTCCTTGGGTGAAGCTGCAGATGCCCCAAGTTGGCAGAGCGTGGAGAGGGATCAGAGCTTGTCTGAGCTCAGGCAGTTATAGCTGGTGTCCTCCGACATCTGGGTTTAGTGACTAGCTGAGAGCACAACGCGTGCGACAGCTGACTTACTCTTCCTTTTTGACTTTATCCGCAGTTGAGCGACTGCTACCAGGGAGTGGTGTTTGATGGCCTGGAGACCCTCTTTACACACAACACAGCATCTACTCTCCTCTGCTTGCTCAAAGCTGTCGGAAATCGGCCTCGTATCTATTTTGTGAACCTGTTCCAGGATTATGCTGCTCTGAAAGCCAGGGAGACAGCCGCAAAAGAGCAGGAAGGTGAGACTCTTCATCTCCATACCTCTGAAATCTTCTCTCTCAAGCCCTCAACCTTACCCATGTGTATCTGGCTTACCAGCAGCACTTGTAAGAAATGTTTTTGTTAATCCTTCCAGCTCTGCCTTGGTGTAGCCAGCACTCAGCTCACAGATACAGCAGAGCTGAGGCTGTAAGACTTATCTTAGTCTCTGACATGAAAACGTGAGCACAAGTGCAAGCTGTTGTGGCTCAATAACTAACCCGCAGCCGGCTGTCCGCAACGCTGGTGCACGTGAGCCAGGCCAGGCACAAGAACTCACTGACCAGTGATAGTCTGGGGGATTATCTGAATTTTGGAACAGGAATAGGGGCTCCCCGGTATCTCCTGGCAGGATGATAGGCTGGGTCAGGACAGAGCTGTGAATCCTTGCAGCTCACCCAGAACAGCAAGTGCTGCTTACAGTCACTAACGGTTTCTCCTCTGGCCTGTGCTGAAGAACGGGAGCAGGAAGAAGCTGCCAGGAGGGAGAAAGCACGACTCTGGGAGATGGATGAGGACGAGTATGATGCCCTCACTGAGGAGCAGAAAACGGAGTTTAATAACAGTATACAACAAGTCCAGCGTGAGAGGAAGAAAAGGTCTGTAAGCCTTCCATGGGTAACTCCCCAGGATGGTGTCCCTGAAGGGTTTCCCTGCTCCAGAGACCTTGGTTGAGCTCAGAGTGGTTACAGAGCAAAGGCCAAAAGTGTTTATTACAGGTGGCACAGGGATAGCCAGGTCCACCTCCCTGGTTCCCAACAGAGGAAGGGCCTTCCTCTGGTGAGATGAGAACGTCTTCTCTCCATTTTAGTGGTGACCCCTCTGGCTTAGACACTGGCTTCAGGGAGCTGGGCTCTCTGCTTGCCTTGCCACTGCGCTTCTAAGCGTCTCCAAGTTAATGATGTTGATTCGCATCATCTTCCTCCCCATTCTTCTCCAAACCAGAGGGGTTGGTGTGAGGCACAGCCATAGGTGAAGTCCTTGCCCTGCTGATCTCCCATAAAAGCTGGTGTCTCAGGCTCACCTTCAGCTGCAGCCATGTTCAGGAGGATGCATAGGATAAGTGTAAGCCCATATTAATCCCTGCCTGAAACTCAGGGAGGGACTTGCTTAAAGCAAGCGTGTGTTTCAGCACTTCTTTGAACCCCAGCTGAAGTTTGTTTCCCTGGGAGGAGACCACTAGGGCTGCTTCCAATAGCAGTTCCCAGGACAGACAACACAAGTTTCCCATGGTCACGGCTGGGTGCCAGCAGGAAACCTGGTTGCTGGGAGCCCGTTTTGCAGGAGGGGAGTTACTGCAGCCTTTGCTTTCTGACTGATACGGCTAGTCTCACAGAGGAGCAGGCTGTGCCCAGGGGGAAGGGCTGGATAAGCCAAGGAAGTATCGGTGCAGGGATAAAGTAGGTGTTAGTGATTTGTGAGCTGGTTTACACCGGGAAGTCGAGGGCTTCAGGTGTCAGTGTGGAGCGATGGTGGATCAGTCTTCAGCAGTGTGCTGGAGGTGTCCAGATGGACCTTATTGGAATTTAGTGCAATTTAGACCTTATAACAGCAAAGCCTAGATTTAGCTGGCCCTGGCGGTGTGTCTCCCACTGCACCTTTCCTCACTTGGGATGTTGCCAGCCTCCCCAGGTTGACAGAAGTCCATGGAGCTGGTCTAACAGTTCTGCCTGGCCTTAGGGTCAGTGACTGAAGTGCGGGACCAGCTGGGATTGCACGAAGCACAGATTTCTGGTGGTGACTCTCAGGGCTGTTTTCTGTTTGGCTTGATGAAGGAAGATGGAGCAGCTGGCTCAAGAGCTCAAGGAAAAGCACCGGCGGGAGCTACAACGCTTGAAGGAGGAAGAGCTGAAGAGGTGGTATAAGCGGGTCAAGAGAGAGCTTGGAAAAGACAAAGATAGTGCTTCAGGGCACAAAAGCCATCCTGTAGTCAGACAGGTGGGTGGTTGTGCTTATAGTGATGAGTAAAAGCCCTGGGGACCTTCCCACTGAGCTGCACCTTTCCCCAAGAAGCCAGCAGCCCCCCACAGTGCTGGGGGTGAGTACCTGGCCGTGAGTAACACACGGGGCTGTGCTGGGAAACAACGGCCCGGCCCGTGTTGGATCCTGCTGCTGATTCACCAGGGGTGTGTCTTTTCCCATGGGTTTGTTGGTAGAGCTGCTCTTCTAGGATCATGCTGCCTCAGAGTCACAGCTTCACATAACTCCATACATCCACCGTGAAGCCCTAGATAGTTTTAGTCCAGCAGTACTCCCCATTCTGTATGTGACTTACACCTCTGAGCCATGACCCGTCTGGGATGTGGTGTCTTTTCCTACATGTCTGGCAGGAGATACCACTAGGCCTTACAGGTATTCATTAGCAGTCAGAGTTCCCAAAGTGTCAGCCAGCCCCAGGGATGCTCAGCACACCAGAAGCGAGCCCAGAGGACTGCACAGGAGTGAGGAGGCGTCTTATGTTCCCTGTTTGGGTTGGGGAAGCTTTTCTGTTTCTCAGCTGGGGTGCAGGACTCCTCATCACTCTGGCACTGGGGAGTTTGGTTTCAATTGGGCTAAACCGGGTACCAGCTGCATTCTGAATTGGGGTTTGTAGAGCACCTAGCACAGGTCTCAGGTGAGGTTTGGGGTGCTATTGCAGAGATCATTACTGTCCTACAGCGTTTGAGCTGGTGCTTTGGAATGCTCACTGCTTTTTCCTGCTCCTCCTGCCCAGAATACGAACACATCCACCAGCAACACCAATGCATCCATCAGCAACCTGTCAGATGTCACCGAGGGGGTAGACAAGAAAGCATCTGTAAAGGAGCACCTAGACTCTCTTTCAAGTGACAAGGAGGATAAGAAAAAGCAGAGCAAGGTTCCCCTGACAGATGCCTGCCCAGTGGAGGTTGTACAACCCACAGACCCAGAGCAGGGGGAAACTGAAACCAACGCCCAGAGTGACAGCGAGAACTTGGCCCTGAGGTTTAAGATCTATGAGGCATCGCAGAAGGATGTCACACATATTTTATCATTCTGGGACAGGGCTCAGGGTATCCTGCTGTCCCCTCTGGACCAAGAAGCAGTGCAGCACCAAGTAGAAGACCAGCGCCGACATTTATCCAGATTCAGGACGCGGAAGGACAGAGAGAAGGAGCATCAGAAGAGGCTGGAGAAGGAGCGTGCGGAGAAAGAGCGGCTGGAAAAACTGAAGGCTCTTGAGGACTCCAAATTAGCTGGGCTGGAAGGGGAAGGTGCGGAAGGGTCAGCTGGAAGCCAGGATGTCGGGGTGCCCAGCTTGGACATCCAGGTGTTGAGCTCCAAAGATGTAACTGGGATGATTCTGGAGAGTGGCAAGCTGCCAGCGGCAGAGCAGGTAAAGCCCCTGTGAGGCTCAGATGCTGAGCCTGCCACGGTCTGGGGCCCGGTCCGTTGTGTCCCACCGAGTGACAATGGCACAGAGCCTTGTCCAGGCCACTGGTGATGTTCCACAATGGCTCCACAGCAGCCACGTGGCTGGGGGGGTTCTCGCCATCCCTCAGATGGGTGGAAAGAGGGAGTGCTCTCTGTTGAAACTCTCTGTTCAGAGAGTTTCCCAGTCTGGAAATCATTAAAAATGGTCCCAGAGCAGGGCAGCTCATGGCCATTGTTTCCTTCAGCCAAATCACTCAGAGGAGAGTTTTCTCTCTAGGTCCCACTTGTAGGTCTTGGCACTGCTCTGGAGCCTGCCCACCCCACCGGGCATAAAAAAGCATGATTATTCCATACAAATATCAAAAAACATTGCCAAAAGCTCAGTCCCTTTGGGGAAGTGTGAGGATGAAGATGACGGGAGTATAAACAGGGGTTTCTCTTACGCTTTAGATCCTGGATGACCTGGGACTGGGTCCCTCAGGGCCTCCCATTCCCCCTACCGCTTTTTACTCTGTGATCCACTACCCGGAGAAGCGGATGGTCCCTGCAGCTGGAGAAGCCCTCAAGCACTTCATCTTTGTCGTGCCAGGAAGGTGCCACTGCCAAAGAAGAGAAAAAGGATACTGAAAGTCTCGCGGATGCCTCCGTTGTGCCGGTAATGAGGGTGCCAGGGCAGGGGCCAGGCTGGATGGGGGCATGGGGGGCAGGTGGGATGGAAAAAGATCACTGTGCAAGGGCAGTGAAGACATGACGGGGTCCCGTGTCTGCAGGCATCCCTTCTGTCTGTCCAAAAGAGAGAGCTCTGCTTGAGACATAGGCTGGTTCTGTAAGATGAGAGGAAAAAAAAAAATCACCTAAAACCTTCACATTCCCTTGAGGAGCGGGTCCTGGGCAAGGAGGGGTCCCAGGCAAGGAGAGGTGTTGTAGGAAAAACAAAGTCCAATAAGGAAGACCAAGTCTATGGGCAGATGTATTGGTGGTTTGTTCTCTCTCCTGTTTCTTATCAAACTTACAGCTTTCTTTCCAGGATGGGGCTGCCTCAGGGCAGGTCTCACCTTTTCTCTCTCCCCTTGGTGTGAAGGTGTTAGAGGAGCAGGTCACCCCAAGCAGGGGCCGGTTGAGGAAGGAGAAAGCCTCAGGCAGCCGGGGTGCTGCGAAGGAGAAGCGGAGCACTGGCCGACGCAGGAAGGGTGTTCAGGGTCCGGGCCGGAAAGCACCCACACAGCCCCTGGAGGCCACAGCAAAGCGACGTGGACGGAGTCTCCGTCCCCAAGGAAAGCCGTCAGGTGAGCTGTGAGGGAGGAGGCGATCCCTCTGCTTCACGCCCATCGTGCCGAATGAGGTCCCTCGTCCCCAGCTCCGCAGGGACACTGCCCGTGTCAGGATGGCACATCCATGAACCTCCCTCCTTGTCTCATTTGCTCATCAGCAATGTCTGAAGCCTCCTCTTTAATTACCAGGCTGAGCTGCTGCCGGTGGGTGGTGCCTGCCCGCGGCGAGGTGGAACTGAAGGTCTGCTTCAGCTCCACGGTGGTGGGGCAGTTTGATCAGACGCTGCATTTTGAGGTCCTGGGGACAAACCGACTGTACCAGCTGCACTGCAGAGGTACCTGCCTGTATCCCACCATCAGCCAGGACCCATGGTAAGGCTGGCCCGTGGGAGCCCCCCGCACTGCTCCCCCCTGAGCTCAGAGCCGGGGCTGCCCCTTGTACCCCAGTGATCTTCTGGCTTGGGCAGAGCATGCTGCCTGAGCCGCCCAGCACCTCTTCCTGTGCTTGGAGCAGAGGGCTGGTACTGGTAACCTCAGCCACCAATAAGGGTTATGGCTTTCTGACCAGGTTCTCTACTTAAAGCATCTCACAGCTCCTCGTTCCTTGTTTTCTCTGCCCAGGGTGGTGTTTCCTCGTCAGAGGAAGAGCAAGGCGGATGATGACATCATCTTCAAGCAGTACGTCTTGAACACGGGTGTATTCCACTTTGGACCGCTGCTGTGTGGGAAATCAAGAGACTGGTATGTGCTCCCCACCCCCGAGTGAGCATCCCGATGTGCTGCCTGCATCGAATGAGACGTTGGGATGGGACCTCCAGGGCCTCGTGCTTTCACGAACGCGCTTGGAGACATGCTGTCCCAGTGGCACAGTTGAGGGCAGGCCCCGGGCAGAGACCTGGGAGCTACAGGGGGTCGAAGGACCACAGATGTGTGAACTTGAGCAGATAACGGGCACGTGAATCTTGGAGGAGCTGGGGAGAGATGGAGCTGATCTCCCGACCTGGTGGGTGCCTTAGTGGCCAGAGCCACGTGCTGCCTCCAGCCTGAAGGTGACTTGGGGCAACTTGTGTTCCCCCCCTCCGAATCTCAGCCTCACCACCTCCGAAATGAACTCTGTGGTGCTTTTTTAAAGTGCTTTGAGCTCTGTGCGTAGACTGAGCGAGCAATTATTCTGCTGATGGTTTTGTAAACCAGTCGTTAATCTGTAATTAGTAAGCCTTTATGATTTGACCTGCCAATATGGGGGGCAGGGCAGGTGCAGGAACCTGAAGAGGAATAAAAATGGGATTTACGTATTCCTGATGCTCACTGATGGATAAAATCTGCCTAAAAGAGTTGTCATTGTAGCCACTGGCATATTTCTATTTTTAGCATCGCCCCTTTTTTTTTGTTTTTAATATTGGAAATAAGTTCTTGTCTTCGTGGAAGCTCTGGAGAGCTAGTGGTATTTTGACAACCCAAGGAAATTAAATCTAAACAGTTTAAAAAACAAAAGAGAATCTTTAGCCAGGTTGATGAATGGTATGGGGTTTCTATTTGCTTTTTTAACCCTTTAACTCTAAATTATGTTCCACACCCAAGAGAAGAGACATCTGTTAAATTTAGCACTTCTCTTGGGAATGAATCCTTTCTATTCCCTTCCCTCAGACTTTGAGCTAACCCATGAAATAAAAGGCATTCTCATGACTGTTTTGAAAGAGATAAGCTGAACTATTTTTAAAACCTCTTTTCAAAAGCATTTCTTTATACCCTGCAGGGAAGGAAACCCAACAAAGAAGGGGGAAGAACCCATGTGCCTGGTGTACTTTTATTTTTACAAGCACCTTTGAATTTAGATTTTGTAAAACATTCTTTAAGTGGCCTGTGCATTGCCACGCTTCCGGGATGAAGGCACCAAGCATAGGGGCGGACATCAAAGTAACGCAGGGACGAGCACACACACGGTGCAATGTGCCCCTGATCCTTTCTCTTTCTTTGACCGTGATCTTCCAGCACAGCCTCCCGCTGCCAGGACACGGTGCTTTCCCTGAGGTGTGGTTTAAAGGCAGCGGTCTCCTCTGCAGCCTTTTCCCCTTTTGTGGACAGGTACAAGGGGGAGCGCTATCCCAGAAACTACGAGAAGATAACCATCCTCAACGTCACCCCCTTGGAAGCAGAGGTGCATTTCTCCTTTGAGCACGATCTCAAAGCGAACACGTTCCTTTTAGACCCTCCCAGCATGAGGCTGAAAGCTAATGAGAAGCAGGTAGGAGACAGGCAGGTAGGGCAGGCACGGCTGGAAGTGCCCAGGAGCTGTTCCTCCTGCTCACTGACTGCTCTTCTGTATTTCTTTTTTGCGGGGACGGGGCTAGGAGCTGAGCATTTGGGCGTACCCCACTTCAGCTGGCCTGGTGGAAGACAACATCATCTGCTGCATTAAGGGGAACCCAGAGCCCGTGGTCTTCCGCCTGTGCTGCCAGGGGGTGCAGGTGAAGCTGGGGGTCAGCCCCAAGCAGGTGCATTTCGGCAAGCTGCTCCTGCACAGGTCAGTCCTCCCCCGGCCGCGCTGCCGGGGACGAGAACTGTCAGCGAGCTCCCCAGCAGCTTCTCTCGCCGGCTGCGTGGCCACTCAGGCTGGGGACTGGGCTAACACCCCTCTTTCTCCCAGCAGTCCCTAGTCTCTTGCTCACTGTTCTGTGCTGGCTTGGATATCCCATGACAGCCACAACCTCTGTAGCCCCCCACAGCAACGCTGCGTGATGGGCATCCTGGTGATGCATTTGTACCTTGCCTGCTGGTTCGGAGAGCGGTCCGGCTGCTCCTCCTTATCTCCCTCCTGTTGGATACGCTTTGAGCACCCGGCTGCCCTCCAGGAGCTCACCTCTGAGACTTGGGACAAAGAGAAAACATTTCACTGTGGTTTCAGACGCGTGGACAGGGCTGCTCCAAGCTGCATTCCATTGCAAGGCTAGCAGGACCGTCGAGCAGCTGGTGCTGAGTGTCCTCCTGTCTCTGCAGGAGGGACAAAAAGACCCTGGTCCTCCAAAACGACACCCTACTGCCTGTGGCCTGGCGGTTCGGTGGCCTGGAAAACCTCGGCGAGGACTTTTCCATGTCACAAGAGGAGGGCATCATTGGTCCCTGCACGGAGTTCAGCGTGCATCTGTCCTTCAGGGCCACGCAGGCTCTCAACATTAAGAAGACGATCCGATTAGAGGTGAGGGGGACTGTGGAGTGACCAGCCCTGTGCTCTTCAGGCTGGAGACTGAAGGGTACCCTGCAAAGAGGGCAAAAGGATGACCCTTCACGAGATTCCTTTCTGCCCGCACGGCCAGGGGGCCAGTCCCTTAGCAGCAAAGGGTCTCTCACTGTAGGATCATGTTTTGGAAAGTAAGTGACTACTGGGGTGCTCTTGTAGCTGAGCTTCATGGGGCAAGTGCACCGTGGCGTCAGGAGGGGCTGCACTGGACAGACACAAGGGTGCTCTGAGCCCAACTTTCTGCTGCCTCACGCTGGGTTCACCAAAACACGCAGAGAGTCCCTGAGCATCCACACCACCCCCGATAAGCAGGGATTTATGCCTGGGCTATGAGGCTGTGTCCTGAGCCTGTACCACAACCACCTTGCTGCTGTGCATGGCTGAGTGCTGTCCTTTGGTTATCCAGACTGGGGCGTGCTGCCTGCACCCATCCTGGAGTCCGTCTGGGGCTCTTAACGCAGAGCAACAAACCCTCACCCTGGGATTTTGTTCCACATGGTTTAGAGGCTGCACTTCAGTGAGGATGCCGGGTGACTGAAGAGGAGGGAGTTGGCTGTCAATGCCACCTACTCTGCGACACCTCGCACTTCTTGTGGTGGTTTCTGCATCACTGTGCCTCCCAGGGTGCTTTAGCAGCAGCGGTCCCTGCTGTAGGAGTTCAGAGTAGGGCTGACAGGGTTTCTTACTGGGGCAGAATCCCTCTGGGTCAGCTCATGAGATGAGCAGGTTAGGAAAGCTTGGGAGTCCACAAATGCTTGTCAAGCAGGGGAGGCCATGGTGGAAGCAGCCGGCAGACACAAGGACTCATGTGTTGTCTACCAAAAGAATTTATAAGAATGGTCTAAGCAGAATTTGTTTCTTGCTGCCTCAGGTTTCAGATGCAGAAAACATCCTGGGAATTGTTCAGGTTGAAAATATCCAAATCCTTGCAGAAGCCTATGATGTTGCTCTGAGCATCAACATTTTTAAAGGTCAGTGGATGCCCCTGAAACAAAGTAGTCCAGGTACATTGCATTGCCTTGGCAGGTCAGCAACCAAAGCACCTGGGATGGATGGGATGGGATGGGATGGGATGGGATGGGATGGGATGGGATGGGATGGGATGGGATGACACGCAAGTATGGCACAGATACACAAAGCACGTACCCTGCAAGCTGCAAGGAGTGAAACACTGTCAGGGTGAAGACAGCCTTGAGTCTCTCACTTCCCAGCTTTGAAGCGTGCAACTTCACGTGCAGATTGATTTTGAGGGCTCTGAAATAGCAGGGTTGTGAACAAGCAGTTGGCAGTTCCTGACGGCTCAGCACAGCACACAGAGTTGTTGGATCTGTGCTTGGAAGCGCGGAGATGGCAGCTGAGCTCCTTAGCTGCTAATCCCTGCAGATGTTCTCCGAGTAAGAAGAGAAAGGGCAGCAAAGTAGCTAGAGAAAACTTCCAAGAACAGAAACTTGCTGAGAAGGGTTTTTTTCTGCCTGAGAACTCCAAATATGTGCCTTGTCACTTGGTGTAGTCTGCAGCAGCTCAGAAATATTCATCATTTCTTACCTCGCTGTGCGGGTTTTCTCCAGGTACAGATGGCAGCGTGGATTTTGGAATCCTCAAGGTCCTGGATGATGCGAAGCAAGTGCTGACTCTGAAGAACAAAGGGAATTATGAAATTGTGTACAGGTGGGTCCAGCTGCCTGGTTGGTGAATGCACGGTGCCGCCATCTGCCTGGGCCTGCATTCTCTTTCTGTCTATGGCTAGAATCTGTTCCCATGCTGGCCGCCTCATGATCCAGGTAAATACAAAACTTGGGCTCTCTAATCTCAAATATTTCAGTAGAGAATCCAGCCACACACCAGCAGTTCTTCACCGTTCAGCAGGAAGAAGAAGGAGAGACCCTGAAACTTAAGCCACTTACTGCTGACATTCATTGCCTTCCTTTGAGGGTCAGCTCATTTCTCTTTATGAGACTCTTTAAAAGGAAGGAATGAAGAAATTCTGTGTCAAATCTTGGATTCTCTGAGCAGAGCTGGGCTCTTTCCCTTTTATTTTTTGTATGGTCCTATGCAAAGTCCTGGCTGTGCTGGTGGCACCTGTACTTTTAACTGCAGAGGCCTCTGTTCCTTCCCCTTCTCCCCAGTTTCAAGCTGGAAAGCGCAGATAACGACATACCCGACTTGGCATCCCACTTCACTGTCCATCCACAGAAGGGTGTGCTGACTAACTCCGAGCGCCTTGTGCCGATCCAGCTGCTCTTCCACCCCAAGATAGAAATAGATATTGAGAACAAACCCATCCTGCACTGCCAGGTGAGCCACCTGGTGTTAGCCACAACGTGACTTGGGAGTGTAAGCGGGCCATGTGTCTTCTGGAAGGAAGGATTTACCTGGGGAATCCTCTCTTCTGTATATACAACAAAGTCTTTCGGAAATTATTTGTGATGCTTCCTAAGTGGAGCTGAAAATCTGGCTCTGGAGGAGGCGTTGGAAGAGGGAGGGTGAGCTGCTGGGGACCTGGGATGGGGTCAGGGGACACAGGTAGAAGCTGGGCTCTGCTGTATTTACCAACCCCTCCTCTGGTTGCAGGTGATTGAGCCCAGCGTCTGTGAAGGAGGCGAGACCATCGCCATCATCCCAGTGAGGGTGTCAGCGAAGGCTGTGTTCAGCAAGTACAGCATTTACCCTGCCTCGCACATCAACTTCGGTGCCATGGTGAACGGCAGCAGGAAAACCTCCACTTTCATGCTGGAGAACAAAGGCATCCTCGACTTTAAATTCCTCATCTACAGAGCAGCCCAGGATGCAGCTGTATCGCCAAGGAAAAGGTGAGAGAAGACCTGCGCCACCCTTCCTGCGTGAGGAGGCACCGCAGCATGGCTGGTGTGTGACAGGCAGCCGGGACACCGGCTTGTGAACAGGGAGCAGAAAAATGCCTCAGTATCCCCACGTGTATGTTGGTGATCCAGCTGATCTATCCATAAGCTACAGCAACAGGCGGTTCAGGCAGCCCTCCGGGAGCAGGAGGACATCCCTCCATGGGGAGGAAGGCCAGCTTTGGCCTCAGAGGAAGGCAGGGGGAGCTCAGCGTGATGGATGTTCTCTGCTTTCTTGTCTCAGTGCACTTCGGAGGAAATCCACCCGCCTCCACGAGAGTGAAAACTTAAGCAGAACGACTCCCTCGGTCAAGCAAAGCAAGCCCTCGCTGCAAAAGGATGCCAACGCCTTCATGCAGGTGGGTGGCTCCTGCTCCCCAGCACGTGCTGCTGCAGGGGGTGTGGGAGGACCCTGCTGTGCCCAGGCTGGGGGCTCATCACCACGGGGCTGGGACGTGGGTCCCTCATCTCCCAGCCACAAGCAGAGGCAGGAGCTGCTCAGTCCCACTGACAGTCCCCGTGCCCTGGCTCAGCCCTGGAGTTGTGGGGTCAGGAGAGGGGAGCAGGTCCTGGGTGTGATAGCTGCTAGCCAAAATAGCCCTGTGAGTACCACAGATGCGGAAAGTCCCTATCTGAACTCCCAGTCTATAGGTATGGGATGATCTTGCTTTTCCTTCTTCCCAGTCCCCTCTCTGCTCTACCATCATTTCTCAGTTATTTCTGCCCTCCTATCATTTCTCAGTTATTTCTGTTCTCTTGTTTTACCCCTGGAAGTTGAAGGATCCCAGTTCCCACCTTCAGCCTTTACACCCGGACACCTCTCTCTGTGCAGGACAGGCCTGCAGCTCCTCTCGGTTTATTCATCTCATCCCGGGGTTGCCTTTGAGCCATGGAGTCACCCCTCCCTGCCCTGGGACGGCGGGGCTTGAGCCCAGCTGGAGGCCGAGGAGTGGCATATCCCTTGCTGGGGGGGGATGCTGAAGGCGCAGCCGTTAGGCAACGGCCTCTCCTGGGGCTCTTTCCGCAGGCTCGCCTCACTGTGGGCATGTTCACGGTGTACCCTGGCTTTGGCTCCATCCCTCCCGGGGGCCAGCAGATGATCACGGTGGATTGCTATGCAGAGGGACCGGGGACATGCAAGGAGCACCTATCCATCGACATCAGCGACAGAGACCCCAAGGACAATCCCCTTGGCATCCCCTACACCCTGTTTGCCGAGTCCTGCCTCCCAGGTACGCCCCGTCCACAGGTTCCCATGGCCAGACCTGCTGCTGCTCAGCACCTGAACTTACTGCTTGGATAGAGAGGCACCCTGCCCGTGAAGTCCCATCTTAAAATCCTCAACAGTTCCAGTCTTTTTCACGTCTGCCAGTGGGGAGAGGCCGGGAGGGATGCATGAAAGGATAAAAGGAAAGCAGTACTCTGTAAGAGGGAGGGTGACTTGAGTTCCATCCTCACAGCCAACACCCCCTCCCAAGGGTGGGGTTTGCAGGGACCTGGGCAGAAAGGGCTTGTTGAGCCTTCTGAGAGGCCACCAGGGTCCAGATAAATCCATTCAGGAAAGCTTCTCCATCCTCAGCCCTCCCTCTGGTCTGCCTACAGCATTTGTGGTTGACGACATAGAGTCCATCTTCGAGGAGCATCGAATCTGCAGCAACATCAACCAGTGCCAGGCCCTACAGATGCTGGAAGACAAGGGTGTGTTCATCACAGACGAGAACAAGTTCGTCTTCATTAACGTCCTGGTTGGGCACAAGGCCACAGCTCGCTTCAAGATCCGCAATGTGAACAAAGTCCCCTGTAACGTGGGCCTCTCCATCAAACCCATCCGTGGCAAGGTGAGAACAGGAGGCCGGGGTGGCTGTTGCTCGGTAAGGGCTGTAATAGCCTGTCTTGTTCTCCAGGTTCATGGCTTCTTCTTGGCTGGTCCAGCCCAGCTCAGTGCAGGTCACACTACAGGGGGGAGCAGCAATGACGGGGTGACAGCTGGGCTGAATTCAGCATGTCCCGAGCGAGGTTTTGCCTCACCTCTCCGGGTCTTTGGTGGGGGACCTGAACCTTCCTGAATAACTCTTGGAAGCACACTCAGAGGGGGACTGATGTGCCAGTGTTCAAAGCAGACTTTCCTCAGGCTCCGTGGTCTTTTCCTTCACTTTAAAGGCCAATTCTAGGTTATTTGCAAGGTTTTTCCGTGCAGTCCCCACCTCCCACGTATGCTGGGGTGGCTGCCCAGTGCTCAAAGCAAGCTTTTGCACCCCTGGGCTTTCTGGCAGCTCCCTGTGCACAGTCAGCACCGCTTGGGTGTCACCCCTTGGGCTGGAAGGAGCTTGCCCAGGGAAGCAGGAAGGAAGACGCGCTGTCTGGGGCTGTTCCCCATCATGCATAGATGAATAAGACTGCATCACATTGAAGGATGTTCCCTCCTAACACCGCTCCTTGGGTTCCCCCCAAGCCTAACAGCCAAGCGTGCGACGTTTTCGAGGTGGATCCCGTTCGGCTGTGTGTGCCCAGCCACTCCCACGCCTTCGCCACGGTCACCTTCACTCCGCAAACGATGCAGAACTACCGGTGCACTTTTGAGGCTTCCCTTGATGTCCCGGCAAGGTAACTCACCCTGAGAAATCTTGGGGGTGACCTTTCTGAGAGCTGCCTCTCCTCTGGGAACGTGCAGACCTCTCGTTAGCCCTGACCCTGTTAGTAGCCCTAGGTAGGGTAGTTAGTGTTAGGTAATATAGGAAGTAGTAACTACTAGACAGAGCAGAGCAGAAAAGTAAGAGTCCTAGTTTAGACTATATGAGTAATTATGAGGAGGACAATGTAGCCAACTGGAAGTTACTGAATCAGAAAAAAAAAAAAGGGAGATGGGCAACAGCTGAGCTGGGTCTCTCCAAAGACAGAAGTTTAGATGAAGCAGTTCCTATGCCAGCAAGTCAGCAGGTATCATTTCCTCTTCATTTATGTTAAAATTAGATGATCCTATATGATTACCTGGGGTATATTAAGATATTTTATGTTAAAGGAGCGACTGGACCCCTTATAAAAGAGGAGCCCAGTTCCTCTGTCCTGGGACCTGTGTACCAGGGCTCTGACTTGCTCTTCCTCGACGCTTTAGTCGTTGAACTGGAACAAGATAAGTCAGCTTTCTGCCTTAATAAGCAAATCCTTTTTTAGTGTCCTTGGACATAATCTTTACTGGTGGTGTTTGTTTATTTTTCCCTTCTTGATTTTTATACTGTTTTCATGCTGTGCTTGTGCTTTTTGCGTACGTCTCTCGTGGCCACCGCCAAGTGAATTTGCCACGTCTCATCTGTTGCCTCATTATTTACCCGCTGCACTGCACGATATGATTAAGCCAAATGATATTTAACTGTTATTCTGGAAGGCTCTGGCTCTTCAGAGCAGATTCCCCTTGTGAATGGCCCTGATCGGCCTGGGAGGAGAGGGGTGAGGGGGAGCTGTGTCGTGGGGTACAGAAACACCAGCCGGGGAGAACGCAGCAGGGAGCACTCGCTTCATTGCCTGCCAAGTGGGGAATGGTTAGTAGCAGCCATAAGGATTCCTCCTCTGCCTCTCCTGCAGCCCTGCCACGACTAAAGCACAAAGCCTGACCTTTGATATCAGTGGAGACGGCAATCTGCCGCTGGTGACAGTCCTGCGCCCGGTCCTTCACAATCAGAGTGGGAACCCTCTGCTGCTTTTCAAGAGGCTGTTGCTGGGCAGTTCAGAAAAACTCCCTCTGGTCCTTCATAACGGCGGCGTCCTACCTGTCCAGGTGAGGACCTGCTCAGGGAACGCTCTGGTCTGGGAACAAGTGCTTGTCGCACGGAGGAAAGGTCCCAGAAAAGATGGTAGACCTGGCAACAGGTCTCAGAAATTCTTTTTAAGCAAATGACTGACTTCTACTTTTCAGGAAGGGAGTTCCTCTTAGAAATGGGATTTTTCTGACCAGTCTATCCTTTTCAGTTAAACACAACACCAGAAAGTTGGTGGGGTATTTTTCCCCCTGTCTGTCTTCTCATCTTTTTGTTCTCACGTGGGCACGTGTGATGTCCTAGTTGCACTAGATTGTATTTGATCCTGTTTTACTACATCATGATCAAACTCGGTTCTAGTTTAATTACATTCTGCTCATTCCTTTTAGTACTTTCTGTCCTGTTTGGTTATATTTTAATTATATCCCAATGCCTCGGAACACTTTTTTGTCTGTCTGATTTTACTTAGACTTTGTGTTAAGAGCTGTGTTTGAAGCGGGGGAGCATGCTGGGTTCCCCGTGCGGGCCAGCAGCAGTGCGGTGGCAATCCACGTGCCATCCTATACCCACACCAGTGGGGTTTTGCTCTGTGTTCCCTTTTCTTAGCTGATGATAGACCTGTTAGATGAAGGGGGAGTTTTCTTCTTGAAAGCCAGGCCCACCACAGACTGCATCTACCAAGCTGCAGACGTGAAGGAGGACTCTCCCGGAGAAGGTAAATTCACGAGCCATGAAGTGTGACCATCCACCCTGCTCTTGGCTTGGCCAAGCAGCAGCCAGATGTTAGGCGTAGTTTCTGTTCTGGGGTTCTCTGTACCCCTAGTTTTTTGTGTGGACTCTTTGCAAGGTTTCCTCCTCACAAGTTGTAGGAAGTTCTTTTGTTCTTCTGGACATGGTGGGTTGAGTTGCGGGGGACTATATCACCACTTCAGTGGACCATCTGAGGTCTTTGCTGCGTGTGGGAAGTTACCAGCCTGAACAGAGGCAGCCCTTGAGCCCACAGCCAGCCAACAAAAGCCAAACCCACCCTTTGACTCAGCTTTAGGTATGGCAGGAGCTAGCTGGATGCAGTTTGAGTGAGAGCTGGACGTTCCCCTGAGGTTAAGACACTTAAATAGTGATATGCATGGTGGTGTCATTGCCTTGTGACCACTGGGGGAGGGTTTGGACCCATTGGTAGGAGAACCTGTGCTTAGAGACAGCTGGGTTTCAACCTCCTATTCCTCTTATTTCCCCATGGAAATATTTCCTCTGTACAGCTGTGTCACTGGTCTCTGATTTCCATTGCCATGTAGAGAGGAAGCCTCACACGGCCTCCCTGGTCCTGCATCATGGGGAAGTAGCAGAGTTTGACGTGCTTTTCAAACCCACCCTGGCCCAGCGTGTGGAAGGGAAGATCCACCTGTCAGTGGTGGACAACCCCTACGAAGCGACCGACATTCAGCTGGTGGGTGAAGGCTACGAGGACGACTTCACAATAGATAACATCCATGGCCTAGTGGCAAACAGCGGGGAGGACAACACCGAGGGCGATCTGGAGGAAGACATAATTGAGGGTAAGAGAGGAGAGGCTGCCAGGATGGAGCAAGGAAGAGGAAAATCCACATTTCTGCTCACCTTGTGCTGGTGCAGGTGTGGTCCAGCCCTAGCAGGCAGATCCTGCTGCCTTTTGTAGCCCGCAGAGCAGCCACACGTGAGGACTCAAGGGATGATCTTTTCTCAAGGGAGTAGCTTGCAGCCTAGCAAGGAGGAGCCAGAGACGCCAGCGTTGAGCTGCATATCTCTAAAAGGAGGTCTGCTAGCCCGTGGTATACCGTGGAGATGCAGACCATATAGGATCATTTGTGTCCTCTGTATACTCTACATACCTGCACTGTGCTCCAGAGGAGCTGGTGGCCTGTGAGCGTGCCAGCCATGTGCCTGGAGCTGTGCGTGCTGCTTGTCTGCACAGCCACCGCCGCCTGTTCAGGGACGTGTCGGGGTGCTTCCCGGGAAGTGGCGGGACGGGGAGAGGCAGCATCTCCCAAAGGGAGGAAGGCTCGGAGCGAGGAAGAGTCAGACATGCGTCTGTGCATGTGAGAGGGGCAGATGCTCCTCGCCCCACGCTGAGATCCCTTGCTCTCATTCTCAACAGCCGCCAGAGTGGATCACATCCAGTTTGGGGACTGTCACGTCGGGACGCCCTACCCGGTGACCTTCACGATCGCCAATCGCAGCAGGGTGGAGGCGATGCGGTTTGAGTGGCGGGCAGCCACCCCCTTTCACTTCTCCCCCCAGGTGAGCGTGGACGGCTCTGCCTTTCCCCGCTGCTCCAGCACTGCCCAGCGGGTTGCCGGGGGGCTCGCGGGGCATCACCACGTGCCGGTGAGAGCCCGGCTCAGCGCCGCGTAGGAAATGCAATCCCTGGCTTTGCCGGAGCCGGGCTGCCAGCCCCGCAGAAAAGGCTCCACGTTATGGGAGGTGACATCTTTTGTTTGTACTTTACCAAACCTCAGATAAATACACAGTAAGGCGTATATTCCTGGCACGGCTGCTCGGCGCATCAATCCCTTTGCTGACAGCCCTGGGCTTGCCCGTGATTCCAGTGTGGTCTTGGCTCTCTGGTTCTCCCTAGGTGGGACACCTCCATGCTGGCTGCTCTAAGGACATCACGGTGACCTTGAAGTCGGACGTCGCGGTGACCTTCAAAAAGCACCTTGTGAAGTGCAAGGTGGCGAGGATCGCCTTCCAGCTGCCGCCAGAGCAGGTTGCCGACTGGGACGACCGCCTGCGCACCGTCAAGTGGGTGGATGCCACGAGGGGCCCGGAAGCCACGTGGCCTGTCAAGAAGAAGGTAAGAAGCACGACCCCAAAAGCTAACCGAGCGACCACAAAAAGAACAGCCGAGGGCAGCAGGCTGCCATCTCTGCTGGCTAAGCAGCTCCTGACATTTAATCCACCCGTGAGATTCACCAGCAGCGCATTTTAGGGGAGGGGTGGATGCACAGCCACCTGACGAGCTCACACAAGAAGTCTCTTTGACGAGACGTTTAGCCACATGCAAACTATCAGCTCTCTGCCGAAAGCTGAAAGCGTTGCAGCCTGTGTTGAATGGGAGGTCACATTTTGTGCTAATGCATTTTAGGGTGTTAAAAATCTCTTCATCTGATTCGGTGCCTTTCACCAACAAGGAGTTAAATCCACCGCAGTCTGTCTCTTGTTTTGAAGCGGAGAGCAACATTAGTGCTCTTCTGTGTGTGCTGGCTAGCCCCGCAGCACATGGTGAGTGAGCTCTGAGCTCTGTCTACACTGACACCAGAGATTTTGGTTGTGGTCTCTATATTGTGTGGGATGTCTCCTTATGGAGCAACCCAGGTACTGTATGGCAGTCATGCAGGAGTCTGGACGAGTATCATCTCCAGAAACTCTTGCTTTTACTATTGTTATCGCCAGACACGCTTATCTTGGGTGATGTTCCCTAGCTTCTGAATCATTTTAAGACCTGTAAACCAAACTTCTTTCCCATCAGAGCATCAACAGTTGGAGGCTTTCCTAGTGAGTTCATTCCCATCCCAAAACGCCTGTCCCCAGCCCCCACCATGACATCTGGAAAACACTTTCTCCTAAGACAAGAAGGAAAAGGTGCTTTCTAGATTTGTTCAGTGTTGGGGTTCCAGCAGGGGAACTTAATCCTAATTTAGAAGCCTGCTGGATTTACAGGGGGCCAGCAAAAGGGTCAGACACTCTACAGGGTTGAAACACAGGGACTGATACCCGATCATGGTCCCCGTGTGTGTATTCACAGTCATGGTGGTGATTGCTTTGATCAGTGGGTAGAAACAAATACTGTAGCAGAAGGGTCAAATTTTGTCATTTTTCCAGGGAAATAAATGGGAATTGTCCTTTCTAGCCCCTCTATGTGGCTGGTTTTGGAGGCCAAAAGACTTCCTCTCAGCCTGGCTTTCTGGGCTCTGCTCAGTGATTCTTCCCTCTCCTGTTTGGAGGTGATCGAGACAGACCCGGAGCCAGCTCACACTGTCCTGGAGAAGAGCATCCGTGAGGTGGAGCTTCACCTCAGTGCTGTCGTTGACTATGCTGAGTTCAAGCTGGAGACGGACATGGTTGAGTTCAAGGAGACCTTGCTCTTCCAGACGCGGACGTTCGCGTGAGTGCTGGAGGCCAGGCAGGGACCCGCGAGTTGGGGCTGCCTTTGCCCAGGGCTGACCCAGTATCTGCTTCCCCAGAGCCATGCTGTGGTCTCCAGTGGCCTCTGCTTTTCCTTCTACTCATGGTCCTCTGCCAACAGAGGTTACACTGGCATCCTTATCGCTCGACCGCTTCACAAACCTCTTCTAATTTCTAACGGGTGGCTCAGCCTTGGAGGCGGGGTGCTGCTGCCTGCTGAGGATGAGGTTTCAGCTTCCACACGTAATCTGGCACATCCCAGAGCCTGGAGATCTCCCACATGTGGCCTTGAGTCCTTTTTAGGGCTTTATGTTCAGTCTCATCTGCTGTTCATCTCTTTAAACAAATCATTTATTGTTTCATCTTTTCCAAGTCCTGTCTGGGTGTCGGGGCCCGTATATCTGTACACAACACCGAGCAGGAGATGGTGGCTGCCATCCCACCAAGATGTGCCAGGAAAGGTTCAATTCTGCTGAGAATAGCCATGGTTTTGCTTTCATTGCATGCTGCCTGTCCTTATCTGCTCAAGGACGGATTTGTAGTCAAAATATTGTAAAACAGAGACAGAAGACAAGAATAAGCCCCTTAGATTAAGTCTCCTGGGCACCATGTGTGCCCTTTCCTCTTTGACTTCCAAACTTTGAAATACTTTCTCTTGGGGCATCCCAGGGCAGCAATCTAGATGTGACAGAGTTGTCTGGGAAAGGAGACACTACTCAGCAAAAATAAAGGGGTGCCAGGACCCACTGTACTGTGCTACTTCTCTAATCACCTTGTATTTATTGGGATTTATCTTTTTCTTTTTTTTTTTTTTCCCCCCCTCCTTCTTGCTTTTCAGTTTCCAGCTGTCTAATACAGGGAACGTGGCCCTGGAATACACCTGGATGGAAGCTGTAGAGGATGAAAGGGCAGGGAGCCATACTGGGGAGCTGCTCCCACCCAGTCTGGATGGTAAGGGACTGGCTCTGCATGGTGGCTCGGGGTGTCCGAGGTGTTGCAGTTGGCAGCTGAGGGCTCGGGGAGAAGACCGTGCCACTTCCCCCCCACCCCACCCCGAAACATAAATTGCTTTCTCATCACTGTTCAGTTGTCCACTTTCATCAGCATCTTCCCAGCTGCTGCTGGAGACTTTCTCTTTGCCCCCTCTCTGCCTTTCAGACCCTTTGACATTTGTGCTCTGCTCTGAAGCTGAGCCTGGCTCAGGGGAGAACCATGTGGTGGGTCAGGACTGGGAAGGGGGACATCAGGGCACCGCTTTGGGAAGTCTCTGACACTGGGAAAAATGGATGGTGGAAGGACGAGTTAGCTGACGTGCAGTCAATGTCTGTGTGCAATTTCCCAGTCCGAGGCAAAGACAAAGTCACTGTCTAAAACTAACCCTCTGATCTCGGCCCGCTGCAGGCGAGCCCCTGCTCCCAGCACCCATCGGAGCTCAGCGGCGGGGCCGTGACTCATTAACCCGCGCTAACGAGGTTGTGTCTGAGCTCATGGCTCTGTGAGGAAACAGGGCTAGGTGTCCAGGAGCTCTCATCAGAAACTGGAGAGGGGAGAGCTGTCAAACCCGTGCGTTTCCTAGCACAGGCAGCTTGCTTGATGGTCAGGGTGGGAGACCTCAGGCAAAGTCCTTGATGCTCTGCACGTGCTTATCTCCCTCCCCTGTGGGTCCTGGCGTTGGCTCTTCCCCAGCACAGGGCACACTTGTGCTGAAGCTGGGCTGCCTTTAGCTATCTGGTCATCGGTTATGAAAGCCTGACAAAGAGGAAGGAAGGAAAGGGTGTGAAGGACAGAGCAGTGCAGTTCCCCAAAGCCTTCTCTCCACCACACACATCAAGCAAAACTCAGTTCTGCAGGCAGCAGGGGAGCACGACTTAACACTGTCCTTAATGTTGAGCGCGGCGGCTGGCTGTACTGGGACATGAAACGGTGCCCAGAAATTTTCCCAGGTGCTGTAACACAGACATCTCTACTGTTAGTTTCCTGGACATGCTGGCCAGAAGCCATTCTGCAGGAAGAGTTTGCATCTAGCTCCCCAGTCCTGGAGATGGGGAGAGTTTAACAGACTAGAGTGAAGCAGTAGGCTTCAGTCCTGGGCCTGTTTAATTTGCTAACATAGACATAGCCCTCCTGTCTGCCATCTGAGTGTCTATACAGAGTGAGGTTCAGTGGGGTCTTTCGGTTCAAGCAGTTCTCTGGGTCTCTGCTGGGCCTTTTCGTGGTACGTGCTGCCCCTCACCCTGTTCTCCCTCCTGTCTGTTCTCACTTTCCCACCTGTCCCCAGCACTTTCTGGAATTACAATTTAGCAAGCAGTAACACAGAGGCAAAAAAGCAAACCAAGCACTCTCTCTGTTCTTTACCGGGAGTCCTCCTCCTGCAAGCACTTGGCCAGAGGTGCTGCCAAGTGCATCCCAGCTCCCTTCTGTCCACCTGCAGCAGGAGGCAGAGTTGCTGGGAACGAAGGGTTTTCTCCTTGAAAGATGTCCAGCTATAACCTCTTCCCTTCTGCAGGGGGTTTCCTCTCCTCCACTTCTGTGACACTCCAGCCTAGCTGTTGTTCGAGCCAGCTGGGCCAGGCTCTGGAGCAGGTCTCTTCCTCCCTGAGCTCATCTCTGAACGCCATCAGTCCCACCCCGCTGTTCTCTGTCGAGCCCCGCAGCGGCACCATCCCTGCAGGACAGGAGCAGCTCTTCCAGATGAAGTTCTCCCCGGTGTACGTGGGGGACTTTGAGAGCCGTATGCTCTGCAGGTAGGAAACATCCAGGCATTTTTCAGCTCCGGCTGCTGCTGGGTAGTCGTAGTATTGCCTCTGGTTGGGGTGGCTGGGAGTGCAGACCTGGAGACAGCCAACCCCAGAGGGGCAGCAGAAACAGCCAACGTACAGGAGCAATGAAAAATTATCATCCAGCCTTAGCAGAAGCAGGTGTGGAGACACTGGGAAAAGACATTGTATGAAAGGTTAAGCTCCTGGAGGGTTGCAAAATCTGGAGTGAGAGATCCAGAAAGGCTGTCAAGGGGCCAGCTAGTCCCTAGCTATGCTTTCTTACCAGACAAGCATGGCTGCCTTATCCACATAGAAATCTGTGTGCTGCAGTGGGTCTCTACACACCCAGCTGTTCACACTTCTGCCATCTCACCTCCGCTGCCTCCGTGGTGGGGAGTGCAATTCTGTTTGATTTGCTGATCAGCGCTTGCACGGGGAGAGGATGCGACACTGTGTGCTGTACAAGGAGATAAACAAGCAGTGGGCTGGCTGGATATGTTAGTCTGGCTAATACCAGTCCCTTTTGTCCTAGTATTCCTAACCTGAGGCCAGATCAGAAGAGCCCAGAGGTGGCTGTGAAGGCGAGAAGCCTGATGCCACATTGCCACTTTGAACTGGAGGACTCTGACTACATCACCACAAAAAGGCGCACCCCAGAGCTGCAGGGACCAAAGGGGGCAACGTTAGGTCTTGACACAAGAGTGATTGAGTTTGCGGCAACTGGAGTGCGTGGCAGGAACAGCAAGTAAGTGTGTGGGCTTGGCTTCTCCTGTTGATGGGCTCCTGGTCACCCTTCTTAACCAGAGGCCTCTCCAGCTGCTCTTGCAAGCCCCAGGGCACATTGTACCTTGTGTGGGATCTGCTGACACTTGGCCACCAGTCTGGTTTGGGGCTGGAACAAGCTGATCATTGAAGACCAACTGGCCAATTTTTTTCTCTCTTTGTCCCTTTCTTCACTACGGTATGGGTCATTCTGGGAGGACCATGTATCCCCAGCTTGTGCAATATGGCCAGTACAACTTTGGTACCTTTGAAAAGCATCCGTGGGACATTCTTGCTCCTTGGAGACATCAGTCCGACGTGGCTGGTGAAGGCTGCAACTGCAACAGAGAGCACCATCTTCCAAAGGAGTCTTACTGAACTTGATTTTACCATTTTCACTTGATCTTCCCATTTTAGCATGCAAGAGTTTGGCTATGTCCTTGCTCATTTCTTTGTTGATAGCTGTTAATCTGTAGCTACCTGGGAAACAAATAGGGCCCTTAGAAAGCAGGTGAAACGTTTGTGCTCCCAGTCTTGCTCCCCTATACCAAATAACTCCTTCCAGCTATTGTCTAGGCCTGGCAGTTTGCTGCAGGACAGTCATCAGTGTCCCAGTGCCACCTTAGTAATCTTTTTTGCTTTGTGTTCCCAGGACCTTCATGGTTATGAACCCAACCAGTTCTGCGTATTCCTTCCAGTGGACTTGCCAAGATCCCGAAGCCCCACCAGAACAGGTGGCTTTCTTCTGCCTCACAGAGAGAGGTCACATCCAGCCAGGGAAGAAAGCAGAGGTGGGTGCAGAAAATGAAGGAGGTAGATCCAGTATACACGTACGCCAGTTTAACAGCGGCTGTGTTCACACTGACGGGGTGTCCCATCTCACTGTGAGCTTGCTAAGACTGTGCGGAAACCTCTGCCAGCAGTGTAAAGGAACTGGCAGGTGAACCTCTGCTCACCCTGTACCCCACATCGGCCATGCTTTTGGGCTGTAAGTGGCACATCAGCCTATCTCTGAGCTCACAGCAACCTAAGGTGGAGGTTCCTGGGGTTTCTTGGTGGTATGGGCTGCACCCCCTTCCTCTTCCCCTGCCAAGGGCAGCAACCTTCCTTCATTTGCCTCTTTTCTCCTGCAGATGAAGTTTGAATTCATCCCCCGGCACCTGGACATCACCGAATCATTCTGGGTCTTTACAATCCCTGAGCAGAGCCTTTCAGTCCCATTCCTCTTGGTGGGCAACGCAGCCGACCCGCTAGTGACTCTGGACAGATCCCACCTGAACTTCCAGTCGCTGTTAGTCGGTGAGCACTGTGGTTCCACCTTACACTCTCAGATGTGGACCGCTCCAGTTGTTCCAGCAGGCTCCAACGAGGAAGCTGGAAATGGAAACGGGCACCTGTGAGCGGGTCAGCCAGCTCCAGGCACCCAGGTGTACGAGGAATGGGAAGGGAGGAAGGCATGTGTCAGGGACGTTGCATGTGGTTGGGGCTGTTTCCAAGAGGGGATTTGGGGGTGATGCAGGGAAAGGGGGGGTGGAGGGTCACAAGTCTGTTTCCATGTTGGCATCCCGAGCGTGCTGCGCTGCAGGCAGTGCTGGGATCAGCTGGCAGGCAGGAGCACAGTGGGCAGCGGTGCTCTGGTGGCCAGAGGAACAAAAGGTTTTTCAGAGGCTGCTTTGTCCTCTCCCCAGGGCACGAGGTACACCAGACTATCCATATAATCAACAGTGAGAAGGAAGCCTTCAGCTTTGCTTTCAGAGAAAGCTCTCTCTTCTCAGAGGGATGCAATGCCTCCGTGAAAATAGAGCCCTTGGAAGGCTCCATCGCTCCTCTTTCAAGGTAACAGGGCTCAGGACTCACACTCCTCCTCCTGCGTGCCAAACATTGCGCTCTCATTTTGCTTTTGAGGCTTTCCCCCCTCCACAGTCACCAGGTGACTCTCAACAGTAGCATCTCTCTGCCTTGTTTCATTCCTTCCCAATGAAACTGCAGGTTTCTCCATAAAGTGGCTGTGCCAGGGTTACCCTGGTCTTCTAGGTCCCCTTCCTGGAGAAACTCAGACATGATCACGAGCTCAAGCAGTGTAACAGGTCACCAACTCATCTGCTGATCCACCATGGATGTCCCTGTGTCCACTCATAGCCCACCAGGGTGTAAGAACACATTAGCTCCAGGTAGCTTTGCTGTGGCTTAAAAGATGCTGAATTTTGGCTTGCCATGGGGTGCAAGATAAGAGAGCGTCCTGTATCAGTTACTGTCGCTCACCTGAGAAGAGGCAATTCCTTAAATCTCTGTTGTTTCATTGGTTTTGATCACATACCCAGAAATTACCGACAAAAATTATGAAGAGGCCGTTTGGTGGCACCCACGTTGTACGGCTGTCACAGGAGCTGGATGATTCCTCTTTGCCAAGAGGATGTTACTTAACCTGGTCGTATAGCTCGGAGAGATTGTGGGTCTCCACGAGTGCTGTGTTTGGGACAGAAGTGGAGTCTCAACCCACTGCTGCCCTGTAGCACATTGGCAGGGCAGTAAGGTCAGTTTAGCTCAGAGTTTGCTGCCTTGTTGTTGTATCTTCTGCCATTTCATTGCACGGGATCATCATACCCTACACAGTGCTCACCAGGGCTTGCTCCATAGTGGAAGGCCCAGGAAGGGCAGAGTGTTGCTCCTGGTTTCTCCCAGGCTTGGAGTCTCACCACAGCCACTGCACAGCTGCTCTCCCATAGAGCAGGTAATGTGGAGCCAAGAAAGAAAGAGTGGATGGAGCAAAAAGGGTCTTTTTTTCCCCCAGGTTTCCCATTACAGTCTTCTTCACACCAAGACTAGAAGGAGAGGCGGTCTTCAACCTCAAGTGTGATGTCAAGAGGAAGACCCAGCCCCTCTCCTTGAATGTCAAGGCCACTGGCTATGGCATGAACATGTCTGTCAGGTGTGAGGACAGAGGCAGCTGTGTCACTGAGCTCAGTGCACAGGAGATCAACGTCATTGATTTCAAGGAGGTGAGCAGCACTGGTTCCCTGAACCATTTGCCCCACAAAGCCCTGCAAGACTGGGCCTTGGCCGGGAGCTTCGCAGAGACCTTTGAACAAGAGGGAGTGTTTTTCTTCATTTCTGGGTCTCTAGAAGGAGGGAGGTTGATCTTTCACGCAGGTCACTGGCTGAATGCGAAAGATGCAGGAGCACTTGCTGGGCCAGCTGATACTTTGCATGTGCTCTGACCCCTAGTCCTCACTGCCTTTTCCCTGCAGGTACAGCTAAACGAGAACATCAAGCGCATCTTCAGCATCTACAATAACAGCAAGTTCAGCTTCACCTTCTCGTGGGAACTGAGTGGCCCCCCAGCCCGTAAGCAGGTCCTCACTATCACCCCTCGGACAGGCGTCGTGCAGGCGGAGGGGAAAGCAGAGACACAGCTGGCTTTTCACCCCCAGAAGATGTGTTCTTTAAAGGACGTAGAGCTGACACTGCAGGTGAGGCACCAGGGTTTAGTACGGGCCTTTCGCCTTCCCTGCGGAGCAGCTTGGCAGCAGGAGCCCCGAGCTAGGGCTGAGCTCCATCACTAAAGAGCCTGACCAAGGCAAAGAGGCTCCAGCTGCCAAAATAAAGAGCCTGACAGCTTCTGAACGGAGTAGTTTAATAAGTGCTTACCCAGGACCACTTTGGGAAGCACTTTTGTGGCAGGACGTATCCCCCAGGCCCTCCCTGCCCCTAATTTGGGGGGGTCCTAGATGTGCGTGGAGATGGAGCTGTTTCTCCTTGCCAGGCCACCGCTGCGTTGGGTCCCACAGCTCAGAAAGGTCCTGCCAGCACGCGACCACACAGCTCGTCATGTGGCTGCACAAAGCAGGGCCATGACTCTCCAAAAAACCCATTCCCTCTCAGACCAAGCCTTCCGCCTTCTGTTTTCATTCTGAGGTCTTCTGGCACTTGCTTTTCCTTATTGTCACTGCAGCCAGCTGCCCCCCACATCCTCTTCCTCAGCCATCTCTGGTGTTTGCAGTTGTAGTTCCCATCTCTTCAGCTGGCTCACGCTGTCTTTCTCCTCACCAGATCAGCAAGGGTCCCAGATTTACCTGCGTGTTCCTGGCCACGGTGGTAGTGCCCGCTGTCCACTTCTCCACTACCAGACTCAACTTTGGAACCTGCTTCACCTACCACGCTGGGATGACACCATCCTGTCAGACCCTTGTCATCACCAACAAGGCAGATAAGGATGTGAGGTAGGCCTTCTCCACACACTCATTTGGCCCTTGCTTATCACGTGGCTGCTCCGTGTCCTCAAGACCACTGTGGGTGGCATCCTGAGGGGGCAGGGAGAGGAGGCAGAAGGAGCCCTCAGGAGCCCTGATGTCGTCCTCTGAGCACACACGGTCCCGTGACACCTCTGCTCCTCTTTGCTCTGCTCTCTGCCAGTTTGAGCTGCTTGTTCACCAGCACCGCGCACCTGGAGGTGGACTACCCAGGGTACATCGTACGCCCAGGAGAGGCAGTGAAGGTGCCCATCACTTTCTATCCCAGAGAGGTTGTGTCTTACCGTGAGCTCATCCCTTTTGAAATCAACGGTCTTTACCAGCAGATTGTTGAGGTCCAAGGAAGGGGCACGGAAATGAAGGTGAGATGAAATCCAAATCCTAAAACCCCAAGTTGTCAGACAGCAAGCACGGCTTTCTCTCTCACTGTCCTCACCTCTTCCCCAAGCCTACCACGTTTTAGTTTTCTCCTTTCCTTTCTCTTTATGTTAATCCCTCCTGTCTTAGATTGATGTTGTGGAACCACAAGGAAAGGTGGTGAAGCTGGGAGCCCTCTCCATTGGACAGACGGTGAAGAAGATCGTCACCATAGCAAACAACAGTGCTGCCCCTCTCACTTTTAAGCTCAGTCTCCTGTCCACCATGCCAGAGCTGCAAGAACCTGGGGTAAGGCACCCTCCTTCACTGGAGAGCACTTTGGTGTGCCTGCAGGGATGCGTGCAGGTAGCTATGAGCTGCTCTGGGTGGGAGCTAGTAGCTAATTACAGCTGTATTCTGTCCTGGCTGCCTGTATGCTGTCCTGTCCACCCTGCTGGGCTCATCTGAGCCAGGTATTAGAACTCCCCAAAGAGCCAGAAGTGAGAAGAAGGTTTAAATCCTCTCACCTGGTTTAGACACAGATGGCCATGTATATTAGATACAGAAAGGTAATCTTTAAAGACCAAGAGTTACAGCTCTCTTGGAGCTCACCTGAAACTATTTTGGAAGACATAGTCGAGCTCTCCACAGCCAGATGGACATGTCACAGGAAAACACCTTCGGTACCTAGGGATGCATGCCTGGGAATGAGTAGGATTGGGGCAATGTTGTTGAGAACAGAACAGGAACTGGAAGACTCTACAGAGGATCCACAGCTCAGTCACCAGATGAAGTAGTCTCCACTCATTTCTTTGGGCAGGTCCTCTGCTTGAAGCCCACCAGCGAACTCAGCCTGAAGCCCAAAGGAGATACGTGTAAAGTGGAAGTGACTTTCTCCCCCAAGTGCCGCATCCAGCCGTTCACTGAAGAAGTGATGTTGGAGTGCGACGGCCTGGTGCGCTCCCTCTTCATGGTGCGGGGCTCCTGCCAGGGCGTCTGTGTCAGCCTGGACCCGGAACACCTCAGCTTTGGGGCGGTGGTGCAGCGGAGCTACACGTCCCGGCGCCTCACCATGCAGAACACGGGCGACATAGGAGTCAAGTAATGCAAAACCCTGTCCCCCCCGTGAGGGCTGGGAGCTTGGGTGAGGGTTGGATGGAGCTGTAGCTTGCCCAGATAGTTCCCCTCTGCTTTTCCATCCCAGGGGAGAGTTGTGCAGCCAAGGCTGTGCAGTCAGGTCCTGGAAGTCAGCAAGGAATACAACCAAAAGCTTGTTTATGGATGGGTGCAGCTGAGTTCTGCCCAACCTGAAGGCTTAGTGCCAGGTGGCTCAGCACCATGCCTGAGATCCTGTGGAAAAGCCCACGAGAGGATTAGAAACAGCACGCTGCATTCACAACCTCCTGGTTGCTAATCTTCCTTTCTGTCCTTGTTCTTTCCTCGGCGAGGTTTAAGTGGGACGTCAAGAGCTTCAAGCCGGATTTCTCCATCAGCCCCACGAAGGGTTACATCTCCCCAGGAATGGATGTCCCCTTCGTTGTGACCTTCCGCCCCACTGAGCTGAGCCATGCTATCCAGTACGAGGGCCTGCAGTGCTTCATCGAGGGCAGTGAGCCGCTCCAGCTGACACTGGAGGGATGCTGCATGGAGACCCCTGTGACCAAAGAGGTAACCGGAGCAGAGACAGGGTGGGTTCCCATCTTCCCGCACCATTTGCACCGCATCTCTCCCAGGGCTGGGACTGTAGGACACTTACGTGCATAGAGTTACTCCTGCTTGTCATCCTGCCTGGGTCTCCTGAATTGCTGAGAAAACCCCTGGGCAGGATTCCCAAAATCTCTAAGCCCTGTTCATTGCCTTCCTCCCCCGTGAAAGGTGCCGATCCTCCAGCGAGCGCCGCAGCTGTCCCAGCTCTGCACTGCAGCACCCTTGCTGCAGGGACACCCTGCAGGGCTCTCCTGAGACCCCCCCGCACAGGGTCACCCAGCTGTAGCCACAATATTGCACCTGCAACCACACTTCTGCTCCCCGTCGGGGCAGGGGAGGGCATTCAGCAGCGGGAGTGGGCAAGGCACCTGCAGCCAGCTCCTGGGGCGCAGGGATGCAGCGTGGAGGACTCCTGGCCCTCACAGGCCTTGCAGGAGGGTGCAGCGCTTTGAGTGTTGGCTCTTGCTCCCAAAAGAGAGCCCAGAGCTGTTCTTCAGCCTGCCCACGAAGGGGCTGTGAGGCTGCAGGTCTTGTCCTTGCACAGGAGAGTGATCCTTCCAGGTCTTCCAATTTTTATTCTCCCCTCTTTGGGAGGCGACAGCCCCCTTCACCAAAAACTCGTTCCTCTCCCTCCTCTAAGAACCAACAACTTGATTTACACCAAAAACTATGGCTCCAATGGAAATTTTGCATATGTCAAGGAAAAGCTGCTCCCTGTGCAGAGAGCTAGTCAGAGCCTGAGGGGAAAGGGTTCCTCGCTATGACCGAGCAGCCTCTGTGCTCCTCTGTTGCAGACACTGACTTTCACGTGCGTCGTGCGCGAGAAGCACAGCCAGACCATCCTCCTGTCCAACCCGAGCAGCGAGGACTGGACCGTGCAACCTGTCATTGAGGGGGAACACTGGAAAGGGTCTGAATTTTTCCATCTAGAGGCCAATCAGCAAAACAAGCCCTACACGCTCACTTATGAACCCCTAACCATGAGCTCTGAGAACAAGAATCATCAGGTACGTGAGCTGTGCCAGCACACTGACCCTCACAGCATGACCCTCATAGCTCGCCCTGCTTGGGGCAGGAGGCTGTACGAGATGGCCTTCAGAGGTCCCCTAGGAATGGAAATTACCCTGTGATCCTATGTTGGAAGCTGGGTTTCTTGGTGGTTACAGGCCAGTTGTAAAAACAGTTCAGGTGAGAAGTCTGGACTGAGCACTAAATGTATTGGAGCAGCTAACCTAAAAAGCCAAGTTGTCTGACAGTCCAGGAAATGAAGTTTGTTTTGGGCAGCTCCTGGTCCCTGGATGTGCAGCCCAGGGGAGCTCAAAGACCCTCATGATCAGCCCTGTGGGCTACGGAGGCTCCCCACACCCTGGGCATGGCCACTTCTGCCAGTGCTGCCCTGCTGGGGTCCTTTTGCAGCACGCAGGGAACAAGAGGAGAGAAGCTGCCCTGCCATTTCTCAGTGCCCTCCCTGGCCATGAGCAGGAAGGTGAGAAACAACACCGAGATCTCTCCTGACATCACCTTCAGTAATACAGGAGCTTTGGGAAGAGCCCTTCCTGCGGGTCTCAAGCTGGGCAGATGGGGGTGATTGGCTCCTCTGTTTCCATGGGCAGCATTTTCTGAGACAGACCAGAGACAAGCTCTTAAATCAAGGAGGTCAGTTCAGAGTGGCTCTGGGGCACGGGAGCTGCTGGGGTCCTTGTCCCGCTCCAGCTGACCTTATACCATGCCAGAATTTAGGCCTGAGTAGAGGTTAGAGAATTCTGGGCTCCGTCTCCAGGGTGCTCAGCAGGTCTGTGCCCTGCAGGGTTGCATGTGCTCAGTATCTCCTTAACGTTCAGCCCTGCATGAAGAGTCCTGCAGTTTTCAGCTGCTCTGGAGGCAGAGGAGATGCCACAGGGCAGGTGGCTGTGAGCCACTGGCACCCGAGAGGAGTACTGGATATGAACTTTCCATGGCCCACCCTGGCTGGTGGGACCTCATCGTGCTAGCTTACAGGCTGCTGTCTTGGCAATAATGCTGGGGCAGTCAAGCTTAGCAGGGACTGCCACCCCTTTACCACAGCTGTCCCTGCACAAGCACAGGGCTGGCAGCTGATGTGCCCAGGCTAATAAGGCAAGGAAAGGGCTGTTAGGATGGTCAGACCAGCTCTGCTGCAGAGCCAGGGTTTCCTTGCCTTGCCCAGACGTGCTGCCTCTGTGTCCCGTGGCTGTGCCAGCACGAGCTGGTATGTCATTGCCACCTCCACCGGCACAGGACGCAGGGCTTGTGATCACAGCTCTGCTAGTTGAGCCTGCTCAAAGCTGCTCAGGTGCCAGCCTGAGACATGGGACTGTCCAGGTGTGCTCAAGAGCCAGTAACTGGTCTGGAGAGAGAGCAGGAGAGCTCATGTATCCTATTTCTTGTCTCTAGGGCTCCATCTACTTCCCACTGCCAAATGGGACAGGCTTGTACTACCTCCTGCAAGGGACTGCTGAGGCCCCAAAATGTTCAGGGACCATTTTCCGGCAGGTGCCGTGTAGGACTCCCTACACTGAGCTCATCCCTGTCTCCAACTGGCTGAACAGACCACAAAGGTGAGTCCGGCCTGGGAAGTCTCATCCCATCAGCAATCCCTGCCTGGAATTCCCACTGCCTGGAAGCTCCTTCCTGCAAGCTTTGCACTCTCCTTGGCCATTTCTGGCCATAGGTGTCCGAGATCCCACTATTCCCATTCTGCCTATGCAGACCCACCCCGGAGGGCTTTCCTCCAAGGTGGGTGAGAGCTGGCTCCCTCTGGGGCATTGAGGAGGAGAGGGGCTGTGTCGTACCCCGACACGATGGGTATCCTATGGGAGTCTTGTTGACCTTCACTGCATCCTTCTCACCCACAGGTTCTTTGTGGTGTTGAACATAGCCAAACCCGAAAAACTGCAAAGCAGATCTGTGCTGCAGGGGTTGGAATACATTGATGTGCCGGGCTCTTCCAAGAAGGACTACCAGCTCACCTTCCTCTCCTACAAGGAAGGAGTCTTTAACGCAACGGTAAATGTGGACACAGGGATGTGGGGCTCTTCAAGCTTGGCTCACTGAGAAGCTACACGCCTGTTTTCATACCTCCACGTGCCCACTGGTGGGATTGTAGGTGTCCTAGGTGGGTACTGAACGGCAGGCATCCCTCTCTCCACACCCCCCACTCACGTGTCCATAAGCACAGGTGGGTCAGGTCATTGGTGAGCTGGAAGCAATGGCCAGTCAGGAGAGTATCAAGTAAAAACACCGCACGTGCTTTCCCCAGCCTTGCACTCTTCCTCGGTGGCTGCTTACGGCCATTCTTGGAAGTTTTTATGTGCAGAATGAGCAGCGCTTCCCTTTTCCTCTGATTCAGGTGACCTTCCTCAACGAGGTGACCAAGGAGTACTTGTTCTACCTGATGACTTTCAAGGCCACCGCTTCAGGACCCATCAGCACTGTTGAAGTGACCACCGCTGTTCGGCAGAGAGCGTCTTGCACTGTCAAGGTGCACAACCCTCTGCCTGTCCCGGTGACGTTTGCCGTGGGTTGCAAAGTGCCCGACGTCAATGTTCCCCCACATTTCACTGTTTCTGCGCAGTCGGAGGTAGGAGCAAAGCTCATCCTTCACACTCTCCTCTCCCTGCAGCCTTTCTGGGAGTGCTCTTGAAGGGTGATGCCCTACGTGAACCATCTGGGGCTTCTCGCCAAGGGTGACAGCTCCCACCTGCTAATGACCTGGCAGGGAAGCGGAGTGTGAGAATATCCCTGGTGGGAATCGCTCCGCGCTGGTGGAGTCTGCCATGCTACCCCTTGTGATACGTTCCCGTCAAGCCTCACGTGGCAGGTCCTTGTGCCACAGGCTCTTTACTTAGTGTGGGTATTTTCAGCTTGGAGTGGCTGCAGGGCACGCCTCGCCTCACTGGCGGGGGGTTTGCAGCCTGGATCGATGGGTGTCTTGTACCCTGGGGGAGTATAGGGGCGTTTTAGGGTGAGAAACTTCTGGGATAGCTTCTGGAGGGCTCTCAGCTGTTGGGGACGGTCCCCCGAGTGTACTGTCCCTCAGATGCAGCAAGGCTATGCCCCAGAGAGAGGGAGCTGGAGCGAGGGGGGGTGCTGAGCTGCCCTCCAGCTTCCCCCATCCCAGGCTCTACCTTTCTCATCTCTGCCTGACCCAGTGGCTTTTCCCTTTACTCCCCCCAGGCCGATCTTGTCTTTGAGTATCAGCCCCTGAAAGTGGGTGAGAGCACCGGGCGCCTGGTGCTCCAGAGCAGCGACTTGGGCTCTTGCTACTACCACCTGCACCTGAAAGCCACCGTGAGCCAGCCGGAGAAGCCCCTCTACTTCTGTACCACGCTGGGCTCTAGTCAAACCATCACCACCAAAATAATTAATTACGCCCGGCAGAAGACTGACTACATCCTCCAGGTGACCCCAGCCTGCCCTGAGCTCTTGCTGGGGGCCAGCTCATCTGGCCAGCATCAGCCCTCTCCGTCAAGGGCTCCTGCCCTTCTAGCTTGACCTGGCGTAGTCGGGGTGGCCATGTGAGCCCAGGCACCTTCCCACCAGTGCTGGGCTTGTCCCCAGCTCGACTGTCTTCACTCGTAGATGTTCTCTGCTGCCCTTGTTGGAGCTGCTCTTGCAGGTCCCGTGGTGTACGGACTTCCACGTTACTGCCAGGGCTGGGGTTTAAGGTTTCCCAGAGTTTGGGTGCAGGGTTGTCCCTGCTGGGCAGGTTTGGACAGTCCCAATGACCGTTCATCATGGGCACTCACCGGGGGTATGGGGTGGGGGGGGGGGGGAGAGGTGCAGTGACAGCCAAGGGAGCCCTGGCCGACGTGATGGTGCGGACCCTCGGTTTCTCCCTGCTCTGCTTTTGTGACCCACCCCCAACCACGGTCTCTTCTCTCCCCTGTGCAGACCAACTGCGCCGACTTCCAGACGGAGAAAACCATCACGGTGGCCCCCGCCGGCTCGGGGGGCTCGGAGGTGAGCGTGGAGGTGACCTTTGAGCCCTGCCAGCTGGGCGAAGCCAAGGCCACCCTGCAGCTCTCCTCCTCGCTCTCAGGGGAATATAGCATCCCCCTCTTCGGCCTCGCGCTCCCGCCTAAGCCCCAGGGCCCCTTCCCCATCAAGGCGGGCGGCACCACCTCCATCCCCTTCAAGAACATCTTCCTGCAGTCCATGGCCTTCCAGTACAGGACGGAGCACCCGGCCTTCATCGTCAGGGCCCCCAAGAGCTTGCGCCCCAAGAAGACCACCTTCCTCACCGTCTCCTTTGAGGGTGGCCTGGCCCCCAGCAGGCCCCCCATCACCAGCAAGATGGTGGTCTCCTGCCCCAAGGCGGGGGATGTGTCCTGGGTCTACTACCTGCAGGGCCTCCCCCCCCACAAGTGACCCGGGAACCCCCGGGGAACCCTCCCCCGTGGTGGGGGTTCACCCGTGAGCTGAGGGGACACTGACCGCTTGGTGCTGGGCTTGGACTAAACCTGTCTGGTTCGTAATAAACCTGATGGGTTTAGGATAAACCTGCCCAGTTTGGACTAACCCCACTCGGTTTGGACTAAACCCGCTCGGTTTGGACTAAAGCCACACAGTTTGGAATAAACCTGCTTGATTTAGGATAAACCCGCTCGGTTTGGACTAAAACCACCCAGTTTGGAATAAGCCCTGCCCAGTTTAGGATAAACCCACCCGGTTTGGACTAAAGCCACCCGCTTTGGACTAAACTCATTCCATTTAGGATAAACCCGCTTGGTTTGGACTAAACCTGCCCGCTTTGGACTAAACTCATTCCATTTAGGATAAACCCGCCTGGTTTGGACTAAACCTGCCCAGTTTAGGATAAACCCACCTGGTTTGGACTAAACCTGCCCGCTTTGGACTAAACTCATTCCATTTAGGATAAACCCACTTGGTTTGGACTAAACCTGCCCAGTTTAGGATAAACCCACCTGGTTTGGACTAAACCCGCCCGCTTTGGACTAAACTCATTCCATTTAGGATAAACCTGCCTGGTTTGGACTAAACCTGCCCAGTTTAGGATAAACCCACCTGGTTTGGACTAAACCTGCCTGGTTTGGACTAAACCCATTCCATTTAGGATAAACCTACCCCGTTTGGACTAAACTCGCCCCATTTGGACTGAATCCACCTGGTTTGGACTAAAGCCACCCGGTTTGGAATAAACCCGCCCGGTTTGGGATAAACCCGCCCCGGTTTGGGATAAACCCGCCCCGGTTTGGGATAAACCCAGCGCGCCCGCTGGAGCCGGCGCTGAGGCGGCAGCAGGAGGCCTCCGCGCCGCGCGGGGGTGCTCTGCGGCTGAGGCGTCACGTGGGCGGCCCGGCCCGCGGTCACGTGGCCGCCGGCGGCGGCGGGGCCGGGGGCGGCGGCGGGGCCATGAACGCCGAGCGGGACCTGGCGCCGCTGGCGCCCAGCGTGGTGCGGGCGCTGAACGACAAACTCTACGAGAAGAGGAAGGTGGCAGCCCTCGAGATCGAGAAGTGAGCGGCGGGAAGGGCGGGAGCTGCCGGGAACCGGGAGGAGGACGGGGGAGGTTCCGGTGCGGGCTGCCCCGCGGCGGAGGGGAGGGGGCTGGGGGTGTTGCGGATGCTCGGGGGGGTCCCGCCGCGCACCGTGGAGCTGGCGGCGGGAGGGAACCGGCCCGTCTCGCCGGTGGGAGCTGAGGGCTTCGGGGGGGTCGCTCCCCCCGGAGCACCCAGAGGGTCCGGGGGAAGGGGTCGCCCCCGGGGGGCTGCAGGGCGGGGACTCGGGTGGCGCGGTGGCCCTGCCAGCGGCTCCCCGTGTCACCGGCCACCCGGGTTTATCTGCCAGCGCCTGGGCACAAGCGGGGACCCGCCGGTTCGGGGTGCGTGTGTCAGGGCGGGGGGCTGCCGGCGGGTCCCCCCGGGGCCGGTGAGCACGAGTGGCGTGACTAGAACCTCGTCGGCAGCGCGGTGCTCGCTCTCCGGCCCCATCTCCCGTCAGCGAGGGTTCATCACCTCGCGGTGCCGTCCCACTTCTCCCCCGAGGTCTCCCCAAGCTCCCCCCCCGCGCTCGGTCCCGGTTGCAGAGGCGGGAGGCTCCTGCTGTCACCCCCAGCCCTTGGGTGCTGCCTTTTAGTTCTTCCTGCATCGCTGCTGTTTCGCCGAGAGCTCGGGCCTTCCTCTCGGAACGCACTAAGCAAAGGGTTGCAGGCGTCTGCCAGCATGGCCGTGCCCCCTCTAGTGTTGCCCATCCGTGTTCCCCGTGTGTCTCCTCGCTCTCGCTGCGCTGGTCGGGGTGTTTCGCTCTGCTCTGCTCCACGGCTTGGCCTGGGAAGCACCGTGTCCTCCCCGGGCACTGCCCGAGAGCTCAGCTCGGGGAGGAGACCCGAGGCATCTCCTCAGGGGCCAGCCCAGCGCAGGAGCCGAGCCCAGAGGGTGAGTTTTGGGGTGAGAGAGGTGGCTGTGGTGACCCTGCGAGGGGAGCAGCCAGCTGGTGACGTGGGGGATGGAGCCGCTCTGCTGAGGGTTTGGGGGGGGGGGGGGGGAGAGACACGGGAGGGATGTGGGGTGGGAACTGCGTGCCTCGAACGCGGAAGGTCTGGCGTGGGAGGGAGCATGCAGACGGCTCTTGGGACAGGGTTTTTTGCTCAGGTACAAACCCAACCCAGGCAGCCCCTTCTGTTCTGTGTGTTTCCTTATTTTCTCTCTTCCTTATAGTTTCTTAAGGGTGAGTTGCAGCAGATGTAAAGCATGCTCCTCGTAACTCCAGCCTTTGGGATACCTCAGTAACTGCCCCTTTGCTGCCCCTGTGAGGGGTGTTGCTCCTTGTCTTACCCAAGCAGCTCTGCTCTGACTTATTCTGCCCCAGGATTAGGGTTTTGTGGTTGGCTTATACCAACCAAAGCCTGATTTGGGGTCAGACAGTTCAGCTGATGGAGCTGGAAACCCAATTGGGATAGGAGGAGGAAGGCAAGGGCCACCCCTTTCTGCAGATACACAGGTTTAAATCAGCTGAAACCCATCACAGAATGGCACCAGCAGCATCTCCCAGTGTCTGTGGCATTGAGTGAGGGGGGGGCTCTCCCTCTCTCTCTGGCTGGTAACGTGGGAGCAGCTCCTGCTGCTTGCAGACTCTCTGATGCTGCACATTGCTTCTCCCTGCCTTTTGCCTCGTCGGTTAAATCTCAAGCCCCTTAAACTCTTGAAGGAAGTCGGTAACGTTTTTCCTGTCCAAACAAAGCTCCGTCTGTTAAATCTCGGCTGTAGAAGGGTTACCCCAGTGGTCTGCGCTGCTCGAGCTCAGTGTGTTCCACCTGCTGCTGGGGTGGGACTGGAGATGGAGCCCTTTGCCCTAAAGCAGCAGTTTGTGAGAGCAGGTCGGGCTGGAACTGTTGGAGAACTTGGCTTCTGAGTGGGGAGATGGAGGCAGGGCTGCGTGGTGCCCCCCGGGGAGAAAGGGGGAAGCTGCTTTCACAGAATGGGTTGGTGTAGAAGAGACTCTAAAGACCGTCTGGTTCCAATCCCCCTGCCCTGGGCAGGGCCCCCTTCCCCCAGCCCAGGGTGCTCCCAGCCCCGTCCAACCTGGCCTTGAACCCTTCCAGGGAGGGGGCAGCCACAGCTGCTCTGGGCACCCTGGGCCAGGGCCTCGCCACCCACACAGGGAAGAATTTCTGCCTTAGATCTTATCTAAATCTGCCCTCTGGCAGTGTAAAACCATTACCCTTCATCCTATCCCCACCCCCCCTATAAAGGGTCCCTCCCCACCTTTCCTGCCCCCCCTTTAAGCCCTGGGAGGCCGCTCGAAGGTCTCCCCGGAGCCTTTTCTTCTCCAGGCTGAACCCCCCCAACTCTCTCAGCCTGACCTCCCAGGGATGCTGCTCCAGCCCCCCCAGCATCTTCGTGGCCTCCTCTGGCCCCGCTGGAGCAGCTCCGTGTCCTTCTGCTGTTGGGGGCCCCCGAGCTGGCCCCAGCACTGCAGGGGGGTCTCCCCAGAGCAGAGCAGAGGGGGAGAATCCCCTCCCTCGCCCTCCTGGTCACTTTGCTCAGAGTAGGTGAGAACAGAGCTGCTGTTAATCATTTTGGGTAAAGATGTTTATAAACATCTTCTATAATGATTTTCCTGGATTATAAAGTGGGTGACTGGCAGGTGGCACCCATCTGGAAGAGGGCAGCGTGAGGTTCAATATAGCGCCAAAACCTCCCTGTATGGAGTTAGGCAGTGAAAGCTTTTGCACCTTCATTGTAGATTAAGGTAACAATCCTTATTTAGGCTGAGATTCTGAGAGGCCTGGGTCCACGTTCCGGCTAGAAGTCAAAAGAAAAAAAAAAAAGGGGAAAAACAGGACTGCATTGGCCGGGAATCGAACCCGGGCCTCCCGCGTGGCAGGCGAGAATTCTACCACTGAACCACCAATGCTCCAGCTGCTGACACAGCTGGCGGCACAGCTGGCGGCACAGCTGCCCGGGCCTCCCCGGCTGGCCAGAGGCTCTACCACAGGGCAGCTGGGGCTGAAGGGCCAGTTGAGCGACCAGGGACCTTGAAGGGGTTGCAGGTCTCTTGGTTTCAGTGCAGCTGATGCGTTAAATATCTCTGGGTAAGGAGCAGCAAGTTTCTGGGGAGGAGCCGGTGTCGCATACGGAAACCTTGTCTGCTTTTTGTTAAGGCTTGTGCTGTTTAAGGGTATATTTAAGTATATGAAATATCAGCTGAAGCAGTGCGTGGCTGGCTGGAAGGGTCCAAAATTTTGGCACCAGGCGCTGGTCTGTCAGGCAGCAATTCCCTACCGAGCCGCCAGTGTTCGTGGTGCATCCCAAGCAGTTCTCTGCTGCTGACTTGTGCCGTGTTGGAGGTAAATGACCCTCAGGACCCACCCTGTTGGAGAGGGTGCTTGAAGACCTGGTGAATTCTTCTCTGCAAGCGCACAGCCGTGGTGAGGTGGCCCTTGAGAGTCCATCAACAGCGAGCCGCTGTTGGATGTGAGTGGGGAAGAGAGGAGAGCTAAGGTTTCACTTGTGGGTTCCTTTAGCGTTCCCCATTTCGGTACCGCTTTCTCTGGTGTTTGTCGTGGCTGAAAAAATCCCTGTTTCTGACGGCCGTGGAGCGCTGAACCCCTGAGCTCAGCTATCGGGCAAAACCTGAAGCCCTCTGGGTGATTTCCTCTTCTTTTCCCAGGCTGGTGCGAGAGTTTGTGGCTCAGAACAACACGTCTCAAATCAAACATGTGATCCAGATCCTGTCGCAGGAGTTTGCGCTCTCCCAGCACCCCCACAGCCGGAAAGGGGGACTCATTGGCCTGGCCGCTTGCTCCATCGCCCTGGGCAAGGTAGGTATGGGTGGGTACTTTTTTTTTTTTTTTTTTTTTGGCTTGTATGTGTTGCAGTAGGAGAACAGCAGCTCCTCCTGGGTCAGCGTGATGGGGAGACGCGGGCTAGCGGCCCTGCAGCTCCCCAGCTCCCTGCTTGCATTGCAGAGAACGCCTGGACTGTGTTTGAGTTTCCCCAACACACCCAGCCACATCCTGTGGGAACAGGAGCACTTTCTGGGCTGGGCTGCATCTTGGCAGTCCCTAGGCGTGGTTTAAGTGCATCTGTCCATCCTCTGTCTCCGGCAGCTGATCTAGACTCAGCAGGATGGGTCCT